AGTACAAAATGGGGAAGTGATGTGGACCCACTAGGTGACCTACCCGAGGAACCTAGAAAATACACTGAGAAGACAAGGGTATTGCCATATAATGGCAAGATATTAAATAATATCCTTGAATCTCTATTTGAAAACCCATATATCTAAAATAGTATATCCTAATTTAAAATAAGATAAACTACTAACAGATTTGGAAGGTCATTTGGATGATTTGTAATATTCTAATAATCTATTAAATCCTAAAAGAATCTTTTAAATAATTTAATTACATAGAAAATGAAAATAAAATGAATTAAGTAGGAGCCCTCTTGAATGGGATCTTTTACTTGTTTTTTCCCCCATGTTCACCACTTGGAAGTTAAATGCCACTTAGCAAGCAATCTACTCTTTTTGAGCCTCTTTTTTGGTGGGGCTTTCTCGTTAGAGTAGCGTCTCGTAAAGTGACAGAATTACCTTCAAAATTCATGTCAGGAAGGCAGTAAAGTCTTTTAACAGAATTTTGAAATATTGAATTTATTCTTCATGTGATTCGTATTTGGAATGTGAGAAGGTTAGACCATTATAAAAATGTTAAATTCTACAACCCCTTCCCCTAGCCCACAATAGAGTTAAAGGGGACCCTGGGGGGAGTTTTTTTTTTTTTTTTTTTGGGGGGGGGGCGTGGAACCAACTTGGGTTTTACCCTTTTAACCTGCCACTCGTGGAGGCATTATGGACTCACAACCCTTGCTATCATTCTTTTTGTTTGTTCAAATTTGTAGCTACAATTAAAGTCAAATCATTCCAAAAGGGTCTTTAGGGTACTTAGGTTTCTTGTTTACTATATTGTACTTTGCACATTTTCAAGTTCTCAACTAAATAGGTCTCCGATGTAACTAGTTTAATTTGTTATCATTTTTTACATTAAAGAGTTTTCTTTTAACATGAGGATTGTCTTGCACCTGATCAGAAATTGACATTTCTTCCCATCTACTTGCAGTTCTATCTGCAGTATCAGGATTACAAGTTACTGACAAAAAGCTTACTAATGGTGAGTCAATTGCTATTTGTGCTTTGTTGAAGATGTTGCAGTTTGTACAGGTGCTGATTCAATTCCAAATGCTTAAATATTACATTATTATAGCAGTTTCTTGTTGTTTGTAGGAGAACTTGTCTTGCTTGCCTGCGTCATATTGCTTGGCCTGTTTGCTCTCCAGCATTGTGGCACCCACAGAGTAGCATTTATGTTTGCACCAATTGTAATAATCTGGCTTGTATCCATTTTTTCTCTTGGACTGTATAATATAATATACTGGAATCCAAAAATAGTTTGGGCTCTATCCCCACACTATATCATCAAGTTTTTCATCAAGACTGGCAAAGAAGGTTGGATTTCTCTTGGAGGGGTACTTCTCTGTATCACTGGTATGGTAGTCCTGGACCTCCATGTCCTGTGTCATTTATCAAAACTTTGTTGGAAAACTACACTGGATGTTGCATTTCCACTTTATGAATTTAATTTTACATTGACTCACAAGATACTTTCAGTTTTAAGAACTCTAATGCTCTGTTCGCTAAATGCCTATCATTGTTTGTTTCACCAGGATCTGAAGCTATGTTTGCTGATCTTGGTCATTTCACTGCTTTTTCAATAAGAGTGAGCTCTTGACTGTTTTGGACATTCACTTGGTCTTAGTTTTTGAAAACATTGTTAGTGGATTGAAAAACATGTAGTGTGATATCTTGTTTTCATTTCCACAATTAGATGGATTCTTTGAAGTGTCTATGTTATTGGATCTCTACTCTGGAAGCAATAACAAGTATGAAATCTCTTAACACACTTCTTCCTTGTGTAGGTTGCATTTGCTTTTGTTATATACCCTTGTTTGGTGGTACAATACATGGGCCAAGCTGCTTTCTTATCTATAAATCTCGGCTCTGTCCGTAACAGTTTTTATGATTCAATCCCAGGTTAGTTCTTCTGGTTCTCTTCTTTCTTGGTACTAATTCCCATCAATGCAAACTGTTCTGATTTGTTAATTTTTCTACCTGCCTGCAGAACCTGTGTATTGGCCTGTCTTTGTTATTGGCACCCTTGCTGCTATTGTGGGGAGTCAGGCTGTTATAACTGCCACTTTCTCCATTATCAAGCAGTGTCATGCACTAGGTTGCTTTCCACGAGTGAAAGTTGTGCACACCTCAAAACATATATATGGACAGATTTATATCCCTGAAATAAACTGGATACTTATGGTCCTGACTCTTGCTATGACGATTGGATTCCGGGACACGACCTTGATTGGAAACGCTTATGGTAATTTATTACTTTATGGAGCAGTGGAACCCCCCCCCCCCCAAAAAAAAAAAAAAAAGAAGATATGAGACCATTATCACTTTATTCTTTTTTGCCTATGGTTACTCATATGTCTGGCGATTGGTGGCATGGCAATAATTGCTTGCTGGAGCTGATTTGGTGTGCCTTTGCATGAGGGCACGGGCTCATTCAAATCACGACTGGTTTAGTAGTTCTATTTGGTCCATGGACAAATTATATGCTTTGAGTTCAGAATCAGTTGGTCGAATTAAATTAGCAGAAAAGAGAACGCCCAAAGTTTAGTCGTAAAATATCATCTCAGGGATGAATCCTACTATCAAGTGCTCGAAAGAAAGAAAATATGAGGCTCTTAATATTCTGGTTGCCAAAAAAAGCCCTTAATATTCAGGCATTATAGTTTGTTCAAGTATGTAGCACACTTGATGCTTGTGCCAGTTGCCACTGTGAATTCACATGTGGCTCTGGTTATTTCGCTAATACTTTTTTGATAGAAATTGCAGTTTGAGCGTTAGGTTTGCATTGATATGCATGGATTTACAAGGTTACGAGTTCCCATGCATCTGATTTGAGCGTTATGTTTTCTTGGGTTGTGAACATATTCTGCATTTTTAAGATGTCCTTATTAATGAGGCTGCATGGTACACGTGCTTCAATAAAGGCAATGAACACTTTTTTGCGTCTGGCATAAAAAGACGCACTATGTTTTATTTGGTCTTACTGAAGTTAACTCTTTTTGGTATTTGACTCGCAGGGCTTGCTTGTATAGCAGTTATGTTTGTGACCACATTTCTGATGGCACTTGTCATAATCTTCGTCTGGCAGAAAAGCGTCTTGTTTGCTGCAATATTTCTTTCATTCTTTTGGGTGATAGAGGGCGCATATTTGTCAGCAGCATTCATAAAAGTTCCCCAGGGAGGCTGGGTTCCTCTTGTCCTGTCATTCATCTTCATGATTGTTATGTATGTATGGCATTATGGTACTCGTAGGAAATACAGCTACGATCTACACAACAAAGTTTCATTGAAATGGTTACTAGGACTGGGCCCTAGCCTGGGCATTGTCCGTGTACCAGGAATAGGTCTTATCTACTCAGAACTGGCAACAGGAGTGCCTGCAATGTTTTCCCACTTCGTCACAAATCTTCCTGCATTTCACAGTGTGTTGGTATTTGTTTGTGTAAAATCAGTTCCTGTTCCATACGTCTCACCAGAAGAACGTTTCCTTATAGGGCGGGTTTGCCCCAGGCCTTATCGTATGTATAGATGCATCATCAGATATGGGTATAAGGACATCCAAAGGGATGACGGAGACTTTGAGAACCAACTGATACAAAGTATAGCAGAGTTTATCCAAATGGAAGCTACTCAGCCACAACTTTCTAGTTCTGATAGTTCTTCACTTGACGGGAGGATGGCTGTTATAAGTGTTAGAGGCATTGGATCTACTTCAAGCTTGATAGCGTCCGAGCATGAGGATGTTGGCGTGGACATCTCAATCCCTAGCAGCAAGTCTGTTACCCTGCGAAGCTTGCAATCAGTTTATGATGACGAGAACCCACAAATAAGGAGGCGTCGAGTAAGATTTCAGCTGCCTAACAATCCTAGGATGGATCCTGCTGTTAGGGATGAGCTTTTGGATTTGATTCAAGCGAAGGAGGCAGGAGTTGCATATATCATGGGGCACTCATATGTGAAGGCAAGGAAATCGTCCTCATTCTTGAAAAAGCTTGCGATTGATATTGGGTATTCATTTCTTCGGAAGAATTGCAGGGGTCCTTCTGTGGCCCTTAACATTCCTCACATCAGTCTTATTGAAGTTGGAATGATATATTATGTGTAGTTCTTGATAGAATTTTGCAAGTTCATCGTGGTGGTTATTGTCTGTGTTCAGGGTAGGTTAAGGCCTCTCTGATCATGTTTATCTTTGCTTCTGCTCTTCTTCCAACGTGTAAATTGTACGAATAATGATAGTATTTTCAATTTTATTTTTGGTTAGGAAGACTTAGTGATGCAGATTGCAGAATATTTGCTTAGTACCGGAGGACCCATATGGATGTTCACTTCACTTCCACCCGTGAAAAATTGATCGTGGCGGAGAATATTACTTTGACCCCCTTTTGAGCGGCAGTCACTGCGAAAAAAGGCCTTGGAACTTGCCACGAAATGATTCGATTGATGATGAGTTTAAAACGGGCTACTGATCCAGGGATAAATAATGTTTAAAAATTAATGTTATACTTTTTGGTAATCTGTTCCAATGTTTTGCTTCTTGCAAAATGAAATGCTGTAAAATGGTGCCACGAAGTGTTCAATAATTTTTTTAAGTAAGAGTTTTAAATGTAAATAATTAAGCGATTAATTGACTGGTAGTTATAGACAAATGTGCGTTCCAAGATTCTCATGGTGCATGCTGCGTGGAACGGACACCGAAGACTTTAGAGCTTCAGCAACGCCACCGAGCAACTAGATCGGTCTTAACCCCCTTTTCCCCGCATAGCGCAAGAGCTCCAAGTATATCCCGCAGTATAGCAACAGAGGATGGATGAAGTCCGAGACCCCAGCTTCTATCATAGTTTATGATGATCCCTCCGCGAGAATCATTCCCATCTGTATGGTGACAGGATACGTATTACGTGACGATCTGAAGTTTGATCCTCTGCGATCACTGGTTACAGGGGAGCTCACGATATGTTTCCGTTGTTCCTCGAGTTGGTGGTCTTGTTATTTCTCGTTTACATTTCAAGGAGAAAATTGAAAAATTACATGTAACAGCTCAGGTTAAGTGCACTGGCGATCCAGGTCCGAACTCGATCTCTGACCCGGCTTCTTTTCCATCCCCTGTTCAACTCCCTGCTATGCATGCGTGGCCTGCATGTGACGCTTCCACATTTCTAACCACCACGGAAACTAAGTGAACCGTCCTTTTCTGCGTCCACATTGCATTCTTCTTATTCCAAATTGGTTCTCTACAGGATGACGCAGAATGGAGGTAGGGGGACAGGAGAGCGCCATGGAACAAACGACATTGCCAATAGTCGAGAGAGGCGGGTCGTCCAAAATAGTATGCTTACGATCGACTAGGAGATCATTTTGTTGCCATTTAGCGATTACTGGAGACTCCATAATAACAGCGAGATATGCGAATATATCGGCTACGTTGACCTTCCTCCAAGGACCTTTCACCCGTACGCACGCACAGAAGGGAAAAATAGTTCGATGAAGTTACTTTTGCCCACATGGATACCGAAGCTGGAGCTCCGAACCATCGTAATCCTCCTCTGGTCAGACATTTTCTCTCTGAATCTGGCAATTCCTTTCTAATCTTTCCAAGTCATAACAAATGTATTTATAAGCTTAATCTCAATTTGAATTTGATGCCCAAAAATTCGTTCTCTGCTGATTCAATGCTTTTGAATCCATCCTGCTTGCGATGGCTTCCCTGTTGTTTAAAGATTAAACCTTAGCCCAGCTTGAATATGCGATCTCTGCGAAGTGAAAATACCCAGTTGTTGTTTGAACCTGCTGGAAAATATTAAAATCCCTCCGTCTTAATTTCGCATTGCAATTAAAGAGCTTTAAAGAACCTTCCTTAGCTCGCATTGCATTTGTGGATTTTTACTTTTGAGCGGTTATCTTGATTAACCCTCAATTATGCTTAATTTAACTCGATTCTTATACTAATGTTTGTCTATATTTTCCAAGAATATAATCGGGCAGGAACAGGACTTCAAATTTTCGTAGATTAATATCTTTTAGCGTATTCTTCGTACTTTATAAGTGAGCCTCTTCAATAATTACAATTTCAACGTTCAGAATAATTTCAGGCCCAGGAATTCTATGCTTATAATTTTTAAGATGAAAATTTCCAATGCGAAGGTTTATTTGCGTGGTTTTATGAATTTCATCCACTTCAAGTGCTATCCCACCTGCTTAAGATGTATCCAATAAGAAACAATTTCCGGTACTCTGTCCTGTGCCCGTTCCTACTTGGTTCTATAATCACCCTCGTAGCCAGCCCAAAAAAAATTCAATTTATACTAGATTTTGTTTACGTATGTTGCCATTTGGTTCCACATTCAGCAATTAATTTGACTACTGCTTGTTTTTCCTAATATGTAATTCAGTGGAAACAAGGAGCTTTTATTTGTTTATTAATAGCAGTGATATAGTGATGCATTGCAGTTGTCATGGGTAAACCTCTCCAGGAATATCTTATTGGCATATCAAAGCCTTGGTGTAGTCTATGGAGATCTGAGCACATCACCTCTCTATGTTTATACAAACACGATGGGAGAAAAGTCGCTAATGCATCTAGACGAGGAAACTATCTTCGGTTCTTTTTCATTGATTTTCTGGACTCTTACATTGATACCCTTGCTTAAGTATGTTTTCATCCTATTGAGCGCTGATGATAACAGTGAAGGTATTAATAACACGGTTTATCTTCAACATATAATGATATTGCACTTCCATGAAATCGATTGTTGTTTCAGTTTTATAATAGGAAAAACAACGGTTGTCAAATGTAAATGTCAGGGGGGACGTTTGCTCTTTACACTCTCCTCTGCAGGCACGGTAAGTTTAATTTACTTCCCAACCAACAAGCGGCTGATGAGGAACTGTCATCCTACAAACATGGTCCCTCGTCCAATGCTGTTTTCTCTTCAACACTAAAGAGGATTCTGGAGAAACATGGATGGTCAAGAACGGTCCTACTAGTTGTGGTACTTCTTGGTGTTAGCATGCTCATAGGTGATGGTGTGCTCTCGCCAGCAATGTCAAGTGAGATGATGATCTTTTTCTTGTAATAGTAGTAGTTAGAACTTCTAATTATGTCATTTTAGATTTAGCGTTGAATTAGTTGTTGCATGAAAATCTATTTTTGTAGGAATGCCCCTCTTGCCGAGCAATTATATACTTGGTGACTTGCTGGCAGAGAAAAGATCCCTTGGATCTTCTTCTGTGCCAAGACCTATTGAGGAACTATAGGTTGTTTTAAGTTCAAAGTGACCACCTCTAACTTTAGCAAACATCATCAAACAGGAGGCTGCATGTGCTATCAAATTTCACTCTTCTCAATTGATTTTAAAATCTGAGGATCATGTAACATGGCATACTTTATCCTAGAAAGCACTTAATTCTGCACTTTTCGAATACTTTTTTAACATCTGTGCTCGGACCAAAACTTCTGCTTTTCTTTGATTTATTTATTATTGTTTTACTCACTTATCAGCACTAGTGAGAGTCTAATCAAAACATACTGAACATTCTGCACCCTTGCAGTTCTAGCAGCACTCTCAGGAGTAAGAAAGCAAGGAACAGATTTCTCGGAAGGTGATTAAAATTCTTACTTTGTTGTCCATTGATGAAAATAGTGTTGTTCTTCTTTTTGTTTGTCCAACCAAAAATAAAGGGTTGAATGAAGTTTAGGGTTAGAAATTCAATGTTGCTCGCAGGAGTGCTTGTGTTGCTTGTCTGTATCATCTTGATTGGGCTGTTTGCTCTCCAACATGTTGGCACCCACAGAGTAGCATTCATGTTTGCACCAATCTTAACGATTTGGCTTCTGTGCACTTTTGCTGTTGGGCTGTATAATATAATACGTTGGAATACAAGAGCTGTTTTTGCATTATCCCCTCACTATATGTGCAAGTTTTTCAGCAAGAATGGTAGAAATGGTTGGCTTTCTCTTGGAGGGATTCTCCTTTGTATAACTGGTATGTTAGACCTGACCCGGAGGTTCCCATTGCTTTTCAAAAAATTAGGAAAAATAAAAGAAAAGAAGTTAAATCTGACCTGGGCCTCCAAGGCATCCTATTTGTCATGAACCAACAGTTCCTTGGGCTATTGTGCAGAATGCTCTGTTTTTTAAGAACTGAGAAAGTTCACTCCTAACCTAATTATGGCAGCATTTTTTGTCTCATCAGGGACTGAAGCTATGTTTGCAGATCTTGGTCATTTCACTGCTATGTCAATAAGGGTGAGCATGAAGCTTGACTTCATCTTATGCAATGAATCAATCATAAATTTTAGTTACTTCAAAGGGCGAGGGAAGTGCATGATATTTGTTCTTTTAATCTCTATCGATGAACTTGAGGTTCTACACGGTTGTATCTGTACAGAAGAAAGCGATAATTGATATAGTCACGTATTGGATTATAAAGAACCTAGAAACTACTTTCCTTTTGCTGTGTCATGAGGGTGGGTTATTTTGCTAGTTCAAGTCAGACCAACAAAGTTGCGGTGGTGATACGTGGCAAAGTGAGAAATTGTAATTTCTTAACACTCTTCTTCCCTGTGCAGCTTGCATTTACTTGTGCTGTATACCCTTGTTTGGTTGTACAATACATGGGCCAAGCTGCTTTCCTATCAAAAAACCTCAGTGCTATCGATAACAGTTTCTACCACTCAATACCTGGTTAGTTTACCTAATCACTTATTGCATATTGCGTCCTCCGCTAAATCCTGTAAAATGTTCCATTTATTTTGGTTTGTTTTACAGGCCCTGTATATTGGCCAGTCTTTGTCATTGCCACTCTCGCTACCGTTGTTGGGAGTCAAGCCGTTATAACTGCCACGTTCTCCATTATCAATCAATGTCATGCACTTGGTTGCTTTCCCCGGGTCAAAGTTGTACACACCTCAAAAGATATATTTGGGCGGATCTACATCCCAGAAATAAACTGGATACTGATGCTCCTCACTCTTGCTGTAACTGTTGGATTTCGGAACACAAATTTAATTGGAAATGCTTATGGTAAATATTCTTTCGAGAAAACGCAGCATCCTTTGAAACATGACTTTCAAAATTATGCATCCTTTTGAAGTTAAATCTTTGTGGGTCCTTGGTAACCAGGACTTGCTGTTGTGTTGGTCATGTTTGTGACGACCTTTTTGATGGCACTCGTCATAATCTTTGTATGGGAGAAGAGTATCTTTGTTGCCATGGCGTTCCTTCTATTCTTTTGGGCAATTGAGGGTCTATACTTATCAGCCGTACTCGTGAAAGTTCCCCAGGGAGGATGGGTCCCTCTTGTCTTGGCATTCTTCTTCATGACTGTCATGTGTATATGGCATTACGGTACTCATAAGAAGTTCAGCTTCGAGACGCAAAACAGAGCTTCATTGAAATGGTTACTAGGCTTAGGTCCTAGCCTTGGCATTGTCCGTGTCCCAGGAATAGGTCTCATCTACTCAGGACTAGTAACTGGAATACCTACCATATTTTCCCATTTTGTGACCAATCTCCCTGCATTTCACAAAATTCTGGTTTTTGTTTGTATAAAATCTGTCCCTGTTCCGTATGTATCAACTGCAGAACGCTTCCTTGTTGGGAGAGTCTGCCCAAGACCATATCGTATGTATAGATGCACGGTTAGATATGGGTATAAGGACATTCAACGAAATGACGAAGACTTTGAGAACCTGATCATACAGAATCTAGCACAGTTTATCCTGATGGAAGCAATGGAAGAAGATGACTCTGACTTTGAGACTTCTCCCCTTGACGGGAGAATGACGGTTGTGAGTGGTGAAAGGATGCCATCCAGTTCAAGCTTAATAGTGTCTGAACATGAGGATATCTCCGTTTCTACCGGCAGATCTGCTTCCTCGAGGAGTCTTTGGTCTGTTAATGATGAAAACCCACCGCAGAAGAAGAAACGCGTGAGGTATCAAGTACCGAACATCCCTGAGATGGATCCTCATGTAAGAGAAGAACTAACAGATATTATTGAAGCAAAGGAAGCTGGGGTTGCATATATAATGGGGAACACGTACGTGAAGGCAAGGAAATCATCTTCATTCTTGGAAAGGTTTGCGATTGATGTTTTATATACTTTTCTGCGAAAGAATTGCAGAGGCCCTGCTGTTTGCCTTAACATTCCTCACGTTAGTATGATTGAAGTTGGGATGATATATCATGTCTAAGTCTTGATGAGATTTTGCAACTTCATCGTGACAAATTATTGGGTCTACAGAGATAATAATCATGAGAAAGCATTTGAGACGGTTACTTATCTTAGTGAAACTCACCTTAAAAATGCATGTTTATTTGTTATTTGTTTAGTTCGTGATGCAGCTTTGCATTTTGATCACGGCAGTGTGGATTCTGCAAAAAGGGAAGGAGTGGGTGGGTGATAGCTATTTTAACCATGCAGGAATGTGCTTACCTCAATGGAAATAAAGTATCTCTAAACATTACGTTGCATAAATTTACCTCGTCTAAACACAAAATTATTTTTAACCGACACATTTAGGGCCAGTCATTTTTTTTTTTGGTTGCAATTATTAACAAGTACTTTTTTTTAACAACACTGTCAGTATTTGAAAGAAAATTTTAACTTGATAATAAGATTTCCAATTGAGAAAGCATTCATTGCTGCTTCTCCTACATAATTACGACATGAATTTATCCTCATCAATGACCTTTTGATTGACAAATACACATACAAATTTATTTTTTTTTAAAAAAAGGAATTGTACAAAAGCGTTGTTGGAGATCGATAAGTTTTTATATTCAACTGATTTAAATTTTATTCAATTAAAAAAAAGAAAAATTGAAAATTAAAACTTTGTGCCCTTTTCCGTGTCCTCCGCAATTATTTCTTTGACTTGCCCATTTCCGTACTTAGGAGAGTAGCTTCACCTGTCCACCGCTCACTTTGTCAGCCACACCATGGAAGCGTCTTTTAAATAAACACTAAAAACCTCCACCTATTCAAACACTCGTCGGCTTATCGGCCATGACCGAGTTCGATCACCAAACTCTCTTATTTTCCATATCTCCCTTCTTTCTCCTCTCCTATATATCCATCCACAATACCACCAGAGATGCACCCCCACCAACGATATCCAAAAATGGCTACCAAGTTCGCTCCTCTTTTCTGCTTGGCCTGCTTTGCTCTGCTCTTAGTTACTTTGTTCCCAAACGCAAGGGCTCAAGACAATTCGTGCCTGAACCAGCTCTCACCTTGCCTCAATTATCTCAATGGCAACAGAGAGCCCCCTGCTAGCTGTTGTGATCCTCTGAAATCTGTCATCCAATCAGACCCACAATGCCTCTGTAGCCTTGTGAGCAACAAGGGCACAAGGCAAGCTGAGCAGGCTGGCATTAATATCACTCAGGCTCAGACCTTGCCTGGACGATGTGGCCAACGAGTTAATCCTTTGGCCTGCCTCTCAAGTATGCTTGCTCCTCTCATTCTTTTATCTTTTCTGTCTTCTTGGGTTTGTGGTTTTGTTGCTCTGTTTTCTCTCGGCAGGAGAGTTTTATTGAAACGATGTGTTACGGTTGTTTTTTCAGGCTCACCTGGCTCCCAGAATACTGCTCAGAACTCAGCAGCTAAGGTCGAGCGTGTCTCTCTGGGAGTTACGATTATTTTGGTTTTGATGGTTGCTGCTCAAATGTTATGGGCATAGGCTGGAGATTGTTGCTGGAATTTGAGAGTTTTTCTATTTCTTTTTCCTGATTGTGAATTGATACCGGGGTTGAGATTGTAACTTCTATGCTGTTGTTTAATATAAGTGAGCTTGGGATTTGATTATTGCCTTATTGGGGACGGGATCACAGACTAGTCACGCGACTTCATCATTCACTGTTATGTTCTGTATTTGTATATAGGGGTGTTTGGATTTGTCAAAAAGTCTTTTCTAAAAATACTTTTTCACAACATAAACTTCTCTACATATTTATTTTATATCTCGTAAAATTATTTTTAAAATTATAATTTTGTTTCTATCTAAATATTATTTTAATAAAGGCTCAGTTTCAAATAGAGGCCCAACGATGTAATTTCCAGGTAGTCATATTTTCATTGCGATTACTTACTGACGGATTAGATCTGAAAATTTATTGTAAGGAAAAATCTTTCAAAAAATACATTTCAATTTTAAAATTTCAAATCAATCTTATTCATTACATTTTAGTAATAGCTAATAATATTTAAAAAATAAATGATAACACGTTTTTATGGTTATCCTACTTTGAAATTTTAAAATTTTAAAAGTATTTTCTTTTGAAATTGTCTCTTTATTCAAAGCCTCCATTTTCACATTTGGTGTCTATTTAACTCACATTGGGGATGGCGTGTTAAGACAACAAAGAATGTAACGGTCATTGCCGGCAGACAAAGCCCAAGTGAGAAACGAACATATCATTTCGCCACGCAACACCCTTCGAACCAAACAAATACAAATATCTTATCTCAACCGCGCGAACAAAATGCCTCGCGCCCTCAGGGTATTTCTTCTCCGGTAAAACCCCACCAAAACCTCCGCGTGCTCTCTTTATCCTCTTTCTCTGCCTGCCAGCTTCACTGGAGAGCAACCGAAGCTCTCCAGAATGCTAATGGCCCTCTGTTCCTTCTGAAAATCTTGTCTTCAACTCTTATTACGCAGCGTTTCTTCTTTTCCTTTAACCATGGCTTCTCCTCTCCCAATGTCTGACATTTCCACTCCCTTCATTCCCAAACTCAGCTCTTTCCCCAGAATTTGGAGTCTTTTCATCGTCACGTACCCTTTGCAGTTTAAATACAACAAAGGACGAGTAGTTTTGGCCCCCAACGCCGTCTACACCCAAAACCTTCCGGTTCCTTCGCACTCCAAATTGTCGAACAGGACAGAGAGATTTGAGCTCGAGAATGACCCCATTTCGGTTCTCAACGAGAGGATTCACCGTGATTTCGCTAAGCGAGAGGCTTCCAGGACGGTGATGGATTCGGAGGAGGCTGACAAGTACATACGATTGGTGAAGGAGCAGCAACAGAGAGGGTTGCAGAAATTGAAGGGAGACAGGGAGAACAAGGAAGGTGGATTTAGCTACCAGGTAGATCCTTATACGCTTCGTTCTGGGGACTACGTTGTGCATAAGAAGGTGGGCATTGGGCGATTTGTTGGGATTAAGTTCTCTGTTCCAAAGAATTCTACAGAATCAGTTGAGTATGTTTTTATAGAGTATGCAGATGGTATGGCAAAGCTTCCTGTTAAGCAGGCGGCTCGTATGCTCTATAGATACAGTCTGTAAGTTCTCCTCACCCCCTTAACTTCAGCACTTTTCTTATTATTCTAGAAGATAATGTTCTTACCATGATCAGAACTCGAGCGAAATACTGATTCAAAATAGACAGCGAATTATAGCAGTACTTTATTAAATGATCGCGTTAATTGCGGTCCATTTGCAGTCCAAATGAAAACAAAAGACCTCGGACATTGAGCAAGTTGAATGATACTAGCGCCTGGGAGAGAAGAAAGATTAAAGGAAAGGTTGCCATACAGAAGATGGTTGTTGACTTGATGGAACTGTATCTACATAGGCTAAAACAAAGAAGGCCCCCCTATCCAAAAAGTCCTGCCACGGCTAAATTTGCAGCTCAATTTCCTTATGAACCCACGCCTGATCAAAAACAGGTGATGTCATAATTAAGTTGTCAGTTCTTTCTCTTTTATACTTGTTGCAAAATCATGTGTCTTTGCTTGCTTGAAAATATTGATATTTCAATATTTTTAACTGTGTTAGACCTCTTTGTGTTTATTTTTAGCTGTGTTTCCTGTATTTTGCAGAGCTATAGATTTTAGAAGATTTGTTATTTGTATGGTTTCATGTTGCTTGACTAGGTCTCTTGTGTTTCCAAATACGTTTCCTTGCAGGCTTTCATTGATGTTGAGAGGGATTTGACAGAACGTGAAACTCCAATGGACCGATTAATTTGTGGAGATGTGGGTTTTGGCAAAACTGAAGTTGCACTACGTGCTATATTCTGTGTAGTCTCGTCAGGGAAGCAAGCCATGGTTCTGGCACCAACAATAGTTCTTGCCAAACAGCATTTTGATGTTATTTCAGAGCGCTTTTCTTCATATCCTGATATTAGAATTGGACTTCTGAGCAGGTTTCAGGTATAAGTTTTTGCTCCTTGTTTGTCTTACTGAAGTTTATGAAGATTAGAGTTGTATAGCGCTATGAAGACGCATATTATTTTGATATCTTGTTTTAAGTCGTTCTCTCATTTCTCTGTGTGGTTTTCTTTCTGGTGGTTTGGCAATTTTATTTGAACAAAGCTTTTTACAATCATTTTCCATCTTTTATCTGTTCAAATGTTCGACAATCTTTCCAGTTGTTGAGCAAACAAATAATTCTTCTACGGTAGTATGGCATGTACTTCTCTGTCTTCAGTTGCCATTTGAGACGTACAGTGTCTTCTGAGTCTATATTTATGTGGCTTTTACCTTTTATATCAGTTTCAGATTATTTGACTTATCACAACTTTCAGACGAGAGCAGAGAAAGAGGGGTACCTGGAAATGATTAAAAACGGTCGCCTGGACATTATTGTTGGGACTCACTCTCTTCTAGGAAATCGGGTTGTGTATAACAATCTTGGCCTGCTTGTGGTTGATGAGGAACAGGTTTACCAATTATCGGCAATAATTATTTTCCTTAATTTCTCATAAGTCAACTAACAACGGCTGCATTATTTTTCCTAACTGACATTTCTTTCATCACAGAGGTTTGGTGTCAAACAAAAGGAGAAGATTGCTTCTTTCAAAACTTCTGTAGATGTTCTTACTCTTTCTGCAACTCCAATACCACGAACTCTTTATTTAGCATTGACAGGTTTCCGTGATGCTAGGTAACCGGCCTTCCTCAGAGTATGATGGAAAAATAGATTGTCTAAGGTTCTTCTCCTGGTATTAAATAAGAAATTTTATTCTCGAAACAAAATGCTATTGTTGAATAATTTGGTTGACAGATTATGATAAATTTCATTTTCCATTTTATATTCCCCCCCCCCTCTTATTACAATGGTATGCTGCAGGTTCTTTTGTAAATGGGTGTGTGTGTGTGTCTGTGAGAGAGAGAGAGAGAGAGAGAGAGAGAGAGAGAGAGAGAGACTTTGTTGGAATTATGTCTAACTAATCTTGCAGGTTATATGAGTTACAATTTAGTGGCATAGACTTACGTCAATGTTTCTTTAAGGTTTATTTTAAGTCGGTGTTATGCACAAGAAGGAAGCTTTAATATCAGTAGTTATTGGAGAAGATATGAATTAAGCTTCACATTTCTGCTGTATGCTGAGATCCTTTGTTCCCCAAGTTATTGACACTCCAACTCAAAGTTATTGAATAAGGAGAATTAAATCGAGTCAGGAGTCAGTACTATAGTGGATATGAGCTTCTGGCTCATAAAATTCCCCAAATTATTGAAAGTTCAACTCAAAGTTATTTAATATTAGACAGGGTTTTGTCCATGCAAAAATCCTAAATCTTCTCTCAGTAGGTCCCTCCCAACTCCTGGTTCTTTCTGGACTTTTTGATGCCAAATTGCGTACTTTATGTTTTGCCCGTTTGGAGATTTGCATTAAGCTTAGAAGTAATGAAAGACTGAGTATACTGAACCATTCTCTGAGCTCAATCATAACACTCTTTATTCATATTTCAGTTTAATTTCAACTCCACCTCCAGAAAGAGTTCCCATCAAAACTCACCTTTCTTCGTTCAGCAAGGACAGGTGATCTCAGCTATTAAGTATGAGCTGGGCCGTGGTGGTCAAGTTTTTTATGTTCTTCCTCGCATTAAAGGTGACGGGACATCATGCCTTGTTATTGATAATTATATTCAAGAGTTTCAATTTTAGTAGGACACTGTTGACAATTTTGGTGGGTGTAATGTCTATAGCAATGGAAATAATCGAATAGTATCATCAGTCAAGTAGTGGTGCATATCCGTTAAAGTGTATTGAACGAATTTTGTTGTCACTTTATTCTAATCAAAGAGCTTGGGTAATAGCAATTGTCTAGTCATTAAAAGGTCATGCAAATTTTTGGGAGTAATACTCATTAATCCAATTACCGGCAGGAAGTTTTGGGAGAGTTCCAAGGCCAATTGTGGGAGACTTTGTTTGTTTACTTCTTGTGAGAGTTCTGTGTTGATTCTGGGATTAATTAACATTGCTTGTTGCTTTATAATACTGTCAGGCCAGAAAACTTGTAAATTCATTTTGTGAGAACTCACAATGACATGCTGGTAATAATACCAAGCGATACGTCTAAAGTACCCCATCATCTTGACTAATATTTTGCATACTTAGGTGAAGGGATACCTCTAATAAATCTGTCATATTCATTTGAGTAAATTTAATTTCATGGGAGTAAGAATGCTATGATCCTGCTGAAAGTAGAAGTTTTACACTGAATTTATTTATTCTTGACGCTCACTCACAGACCTAAAAGTAGACTGTCCAACATTTTGGTGCTGTCTTGGATATATTTGCTAACTCGTCTATATTTCAGACTTTCAGTCATTTGATTCAAGTACCTCTACTATTCTTATGTTACAGGACTTGAAGAAGTGATGGAATTTCTCGAAGAGTCATTCCCAAATGTGGAAATAGCCATTGCCCATGGGAAGGTAGCTACTTATTTTGCAGGTCCAGTGCCATATCTCATGTGAGCTTGCAGGACTAACGAACAGGAAATATTCTGAAGTTAAACATAATGTAAAATAATGTCCTTCCAAGAAATGCTTTTACTGATAAGTGGCAGTTATCTTTATGAGAGGTTTCAGAGCGTATTAAGAAATATTTAGAATTTTTCAGGCCATTCTGTCTCATATCTTCGAAAGAGAGACAATGTGGCATCTCTTACTTAGGTCTGAAGAACATTTATTTGGCCAAATGCATTTACCCCATTATTGGGTGCATGCTGATAAGTGCTTGACAGGGTGCTATCAGGCTTTTTAAATGTTGATTTTATCATCAATACATTATTTAAAAAACAAAAAAAAAAAGTCAAAAAGTGCCGATAAGTGTTTTCTCTGCTGCTTCCAGGCCTTATTATTAAATATTGACTTCTGTATCTTCGATTCTCATGCTCACTATGCATTTACTTTGTTTACAAATTAAACTCGTGGTTTATGTCATAGCAATACTCAAAGCAACTAGAGGATACCATGGAAAAATTTGCACAAGGTGACATAAAAATCCTGATCTGCACCAACATAGTAGAAAGCGGGCTTGACATTCAAAATGCAAACACCATCATCATTCAGGATGTTCAACAATTTGGCCTTGCACAGCTGTACCAGGTTTTTGTTCTTCCTAACTTCATCCTTCAAAGTCATTTCTAATTAGAGATCTCTGCGTGTTATATTTTCTCTGATGTTTACTTAAAAGGGAAGTTCATGTTAATATTTGTTCTTAAAGGCACATAATTGATAAATGAGCCTTTAGCTAATATTTCTGTGCAAAAATCATTAACATACTCGTGCAATTTTTTAGTTCATATTTCCGTTTCTACTGGAGTGGTTTCGTTTCATCTCATAATGGCTTTAAAACTTGTTTCCATGCTTTCAATATTAATTATTTAGTGTATGAGTTATCATTGGTCAAGAACTTGAATGTGGACATTCTTTGGAAGGCCATATGGTGGTGGAGGTGCAGAATTATAGATGGATCAATTTTGAACTTAACTTACTAATACTGGTCTTTTAATTTTTTAAATTTTTATAGTTGCGTGGTAGAGTTGGGCGGGCAGACAAGGAGGCTTATGCGCATTTATTTTATCCTGAAAAATCCCTTCTCTCTGATCAAGCATTGGTATGCTTCTGTCTAATCTTTACCTTTCATCATCTCAGAGATGCTTGCGTTTTCACAGTATGAATAAATTCAATTCACTTAGTGCTCCATACTAACTTGGTGGCATTCCTAGAATTTTGCTTTTCTTAATAGAAATGCACTTGCATAAATCTTGCCTAAAATTAATTTTCTTATAGCGATTTTTTCATAGGAGAGACTTGCAGCTCTTGAAGAATGTCGTGAGCTTGGTCAAGGCTTCCAACTAGCTGAGCGAGATATGGGTATAAGAGGTTTTGGTACTATATTTGGTGAACAGCAAACAGGAGATGTTGGAAATGTTGGCATTGATCTTTTCTTTGAGATGCTCTTTGAGAGTTTGTCCAAGGTCAAATTTAACTCATCCTCTGTTTCCCCCACCCATTTATGATTTGTGAAAATTAAAATATACTTCTGCCGTTAGATTACTTTGGCTATATACTTCGACCTTGATGCCTTTTCTCAGATTTGCAAGCACTGTTTGTTGATTGAAACTTGTTTTCTGAACATTATGGTCCATAATTCTTGATCTTCTGCTTGTATTTTGGGACTCATGCTCTTTTTTTATTTAACTTACAGGTTGATGATCATCGTGTGGTTTCAGTTCCTTATGAGTCGGTACAGGTATGCTTATTGAAAACAAATGTAAAAAAAAAAAAAGGAGGAAGTTCCATGGAAATTAATTGGCATGAGCATCGTTGAAGCTTAATGCATGTTTCTCTGAATGCAGGTCTTTAAAAAGAAGTTTTTAGAAAATTTTGGACTAACTATTATTTCCTTTTTAGCCAAAGAAAAATTAATATCCTGCTGCACTAGGGCCAACCACATAATCCACCAAATGCAAAATTACGCAGCATAGTCATATCCAAATTAGCGAAGATTTCTGATCATTACACTTCACAGCCTAGTCAGAAAGTTTCGTTCTAATATTTTGGAGAGTCAACTTGGGCTTTTCTTCATATTTATTTTCTTATATGGTATATATTTCTGTATGTGTTTAGATAAAATCTCTGCCTTGTATTACGGAGCCCTCAATCTTGACATATTTTTGTACCCTTTAATCATTCTAGGTTGATATAAATATCAATCCTCATCTCCCTTCCGACTACATAAATTATCTGGAGAACCCTATGGAAATATTAGATGCTGCTAAGAGAGCTGCTGAGAAAGACATCTGGTGTCTGGTGCAATTTACAGAAAACCTGCGCCGCCATTATGGCAAAGAGCCTTACTCCATGGAGATTTTGTTGAAGAAGCTTTATGTGAAAAGAATGGCAGCTGATGTAGGAGTAACCAGAATTTATTCCGCTGGAAAGACGGTCTTTATGAAAACAAACATAAGCAAAAAGGTTTTCAAGCTGATGACAGAGTCGATGACTTCAGATTTGCATAGGAATTCCTTGATTCTTGAGGGAGATAAAATTAAGGTAATATTTATTAGTCCAACCCCCCCCCCCAAAAAAAAAAAAAAACCTGGTCAGCTTTCACCATTAGAATTCTTATCTTCAATGCATCCCCACACAAGCAACTATCCAGTAAAAGAGAAACATTTCTCTTTATGACCAATTTTTTGATTAAATGACTGATTTTTTATTTATATATTATTTATATAAATAGAAGGATGACCAGTGTCTGATGTGTGATAGGCTGTCAATGAAATAACTCCATCGTTTTGATTAATGAAACCATTTTTTCAAGGATTCTATTTCTGAAAATTAAGACAGACAAATATTTCTCTTCATGGCATATCCTGTTTGAAATTTCTGACTCCATTTCGTGGAAAGATTGACAATTTCAATATTTGAAAGAATAGACTTTTAAATAAACCGCCATGAAGAGAAGGATGTGATGAATAAATAGCATAGCATGAAAAATTTTCCAATTTAGAAGTTACCGTATCTCTATTGGGTCAACATCCAGAGTTCTCTGTCATGGTATAGTGAAAGGATGATTGCTGGTTTCTGTCTAGTGGTATGGTCAGTATTAATGCATTAAATGGGGATCCTTCCTATCTTTCGCTGGCCATGGATTTCTGAGGCTCCATCCTAATGCTCAGAGGAGATGTATTTATGTAATTAAGCATTTTTTTCCTTCTATTTTTCGCCAAGGATTGTAAACAATCTTGACTACTGTGTTTTCTCACTTGATTTTCCCCATGCAGGCTGAACTTCTCTTGGAGCTTCCAAAAGAACAGCTCCTTAACTGGATCTTTCAATGCTTGGCTGAACTTTATGCCTCATTACCTGCCCTTATAAAGTACTAGATTCTTTTTATATGAACTTCTCCAATCAATTCTCCCAACAAAAATGTAGATTTTGATTGAACTATTGAGTAGAAAGCCACGACTCTGGCCAATGCAAACCAAGGTTGCCTTGCATGCCTGACCAGGCAGAACAGGACAAGAGATCAATTTGAGACTTCCGGCTCTTGGAGATTGGTCTCACAGGCACCTTTCAGTTCGTTTAAATTATGCTTTTGATTTGCCAGCCTCATGCAGCGGCCGAGTTTTGAATATGAATGAGGAGGCAAGAACTTTCAGACCTAATCTGTTTCAGTATTTACTCCATTTAGAAACATCATCGCCTTCCATGGCTCAAGATGTCTCTCATCAAAGCATTCGGGATTCACTTTATGCATCCAGAAAGAGAAAGCAGTCTCTGCCACTTCTGTCTCAGGTTGATACGTCGGAGATTTCAATCATGTCTCCAGCTTTGGAGAATTCAGTGTAATTCGTAGAGTAATATATGATAAGTAAACTGAGGTGATCAGCATTTTTGTTCGGGAAGGATATCGACTATAGTGTTTTATTTACTTGTTTATAGGAAACGGTGCTCGTATATTTTAAAGTAAATTAATCTTTTACTTCTTATAATTTACTCCAATTTTCAAATAGGTGTCCACTCTTTCTAAATACAAAATTAACCCTTACGGCTTACGGTACTTTAGAAACATTCATGTCCAAAGGTTCTAATCGCTGAGTCGGCTTAATGGTGTCATGCAATTGTTGATGTGGCAGGTTATTGACCAGGAATGCATGTCAACACCGAGGTGGAAAATGGAATTTCATCTAATCCCTCCTTTTTTTAAATAAAAGCTTAAGCCTAAGCCCCGATTCCAAAGGCCTCTGGAACAAAAGCTTCGACTACACGGAAGCAACAACTCAGTCATTCTCTTCTCCAACCATTACAAACACTCAAGTCATATCGCATTCAGGAACACGAGTTGGTTTTTGGCGACAATTGGGATGGACGGATATAACAGCAAAAACCGCGGGAAGCAGCTTCAAAAAGTTTGAGATGCAGGGACTAAGTTCAAAATTAGGTAAAACTTGTGGGCCAAATTTTAATGTTTCCTTATGCCATCGTGCCATTTTGGGCCCAAAAAACCGCGTTTTTTCAGATTCCCCCCTCGAGGGAGCCAGAATGACCAAACGGGAAAAGGTAATCATCGGTGAGGCTGAGCACTCAGGAGTCAGCTTCCGCTGCTCGAGATCTCAATTGTAAGAGCCTATTCTTCTCTTCTATTGTCCTGAAGAATCCCGTTCCCTTCATCACTGCTCTGCTCTGATCAAGTATGAATCACATTCATCCTCGCCCTCATCCAGTACTACCCACTTCTACATCAGGTTACGCTTCCCCACTCTGAATCGGCTGAATTCATTGACGCGCTAATCCATAGGAGGAAGGTGCTTGTTCATACACCTCGTCGTCAATGCCATGGCGGCCATTTTGTATAATTTGCTTTCGTCTTTGGGTTTGGTGTCGCTCGGTCTCTACCATCTTATCTCCGCCACCTTCTCTCACCTCAAATCTCCTCATTCCTACTCTGCCAAACCCCTCCACCCCTTCCCTCCATCTTCCTCCCCCTCTCCCCACCACCACCGTCTTCGGCATATTCCTCTCTACCTCATCATCGTCGCCCTTCTCGTTGCGTTCATTCATCAACTCATCGTTTCCTCTGAGACTGACCCTCTCGTCAAAGGCCACACCCCGGTTCACCGCTTCGTCTCTCTCCAATTCGCCGCCGTTATTTTCCTCTTTATCATCCTCGCTTTCTGTCTTCTCCTTTCCGAATTGTCTTTCCTTCCCTTCTCCGACGATTTCATTTTCGCTCTCTCTTCTGTTCTTTTCTTCTTACAATACTCCGTTGCTGCCGCCACTGCCGCCGTCCAGGTTTCTGATCTCGAGGCCAAATGCGACTCCGTTTCTGCCAGGATTTCTGCGTTCGCTGCGCTAACGTGTCTAGTTCTCGCTTTTCAGCCCAAGCTCTTCGCCGCGGATGTGGGCTTGGGAGCTGCTATCTTCTTGCGGGGTCTCTGGGTTTTTCAGACCGGGTTGTCTCTTTACGTTGATGCTTTTATCCCTGAAGGGTGTCATCGTTTACTTGATGTGGTTGATGGGGTTGAGGGATCGACCAAGTGTGAACTCGACGAATCCAAGTTAAGAGCTGTTGCTGTTCTGGATCTTATTTTTTTGATCCACGTGATGCTCGTGGTGTTCATTGTCATGATCACTTATGCCAGCATTGCGAAATTTGTAGGCATCAGAAGATTTGGCTCTTATGACAGCTTGCCTAACCCTTCTCATTCAGAAAATAGTAGCATAATCCAGATGAAAGCATTGACTGGCACGCAGGCTTGAATCTTTGCCTACCTTTTTCTTTTTCAATTATTAGCTTTACTTTTTCGCTTCTGTAAAATGATTGTTGTGTTAGGTAATTATTTTGGAGCGAAGTTACAATATATGCATTCATGAATCCTGTAGTCTGGTTAAAACAAAGGGATTTTGTGTATACAACAGAAGCCTATATATTGAGATCGGTTAGTTGTTTCGTTGTCTTTCTTCATACCTTTATTGACATTTCGTCCGCTTCACCTTCAGTGTATACACTATAAATGAGGTAATGTTCTCGTAAATGATGGAGTTACTCTATGACAAATCAGTTGACGACTTGATTGCGCACTAGTTTGGTAGATAGAGGATCTTGTATAGGGCGCAATTTTCTTATTTTCAACTTTATCAGTAGTTTATTTTGGGCCTCCAACTTAGTATTACTGGTCATATTCTTTCTGCATCAGAAGATGATTCCTTTTGCATAAGATATGGCCTTAGAGCTGTGCTGTTGACTTTTCCATTGCATGCATCATTCATGATTTGTAATCATCTGTCTAGCCAGAGTCCGCAAATGCCTTGATTCTTTCCTGAAACTCAAATAAGGTTTTAGTTTTTCTTGTTATTATTTGAGAAAAGAGATGATCTGCAATGTAGTGGTGGCAAAACAATGAACTAGTCATTAATTTTTTTATTATGCTATTCCCGTATGCTTAAAATTGCTGAAGAACTTAGGATGAGCCAATATGGAGCATTATAGATCTTATTATTGTTTTCAAGAATTTCGGCTGAAAGTGTGTTCCGAAGAAGTTATGTATGGTATGAGTCACCAGCTTACTATAATGGGAAAAGCATATAATGTAAGTGGGTAAGCATGACCAATTTAATAAGTTACTTCAGACTCAAAATCAGAGCTTCCGGTGCTGCCAGATATCATTTTACATTTGAAAGAATTTGGTTGATTGGTCTTCTCGCTGAGTTGTTAATATTGAACTGTTTTCCCATCTCATAGTCTGTTTGCTGTCCAAAATTGTACTTGGATACATCCCATTATTTTCAACTGTCCTTAGCTGGGCAATTGATCCGGCGGTGAGGTTGCATACTGCTCTCTACTTTCTTTCTTTCTTTTTTTTTTTTTAAATATATTTTTTTCATCTGAAGCATACTGCTTTGTCTAATACCAGCGATTTGTTGAATCTATTATGACCTATCCCCCCCCTCCACCCCCTTTTTTTGGGTGGGGTGGCGTGGGCTGTATAAATCAATGGGTTTTTTTTTTTTTTTGGGGGGGGGGGGTACGAGGTTACTAATGATCCTTGATTCTCTCTATCCCAGTGCAGCAGCGTTACCTATTTCACTTATGCCCAATTCTGGGTAATTGTGAGCCATTGTGCTATACTATCCACTTCTGCAACTAGGTGTCCTTGGGCAACATGATTAAACTTGCATATGTAGAGTTGAGATTATTTTGCTGTACTTCATTTTGGGTCTCTACTTGATATTTCTAGGGAAGCTTTCTTTCATAACCTTGTTTTTTGCGGGACATATTTTATTCTACCTGTTGATAACTGAAAGCATAATAGTTTATGCTATATTGCCTCTTCTAGAGATAAAAGCCACCGGAATTGAACATGGTGATGAGAGCTTGGCATTATGTTCATGTTGTCAGGGCAATGTTGAATGCAGGCCCTTGAGATTCCACTTGACTAAGGCATTAGATTGGTCATTTCTTTTCCTCTTTTTCCTGCCTTTGTCATTCATGCACGTGCAATTATGCTGCCTTTGTGGGGCTCCGACCATGGTTTTAAATTCCTTTTTCAGATCTTCTTTTATAGCTAGGTCCTAAAAAAGAAAGTTCTTGATTCCGACCTTGTTCTAGTTGGTTTTTTTTTCCCCCGTGTAATGAACTTTATTCTTAGGTTTCAATTTGAACAAACAGTAATTAGCTTCTCAATTAACTATTTTGATGTCACTTTGTAAGTAGATGAATTCATTATTTAAAAATTATAGATTAAAAACTTTATATTTGGTTCATCTTAATGGATAAGTGTTGAGACTTCGCTGTTTTGGGGTTTGAATTCAAACGTGGAGCAATTAGCTTCTTGTTCGACAATTCTGAAGTCCCATTCCACAACACGCTAAACGAAAGGGTTGTATTAAATCAATGGATTATAGACAATAATCCAGACGTGGTTAAACTTTAATGTTTTATTGCTTGACATATTTTAAGCCATAATGATCCCAAATAAAAGAATGCTGTTAAATTATACTCCTTTAGTTCTTAATATGGAAATTAATTTTGATTCTAAATATAAGACCTATTTCTTATATTTATTATTTTTTTTCTAAATTACCTCTATAGATATTCTCCCAATCATAATCAAGTACCTGACTTCTTTTATCTAATTAAATTAGTTAAATAAGTCTTATATTAAGAATTAAAAGAATATTTTGGTTGAATGTAGTGGTGGTCTTGCCCGACCAAATTGTCTGCACTAATCACTATAACGTGATTCTGATTTTGGTTCAGAAACTTTTGTTGCTTCAAACTCTTATCGATAATAAATGCTCCGTGATCATTTGCAATAAAATCCTACAGCCCCTTGGGGAACTAAATTTCATTTGGCGCATAAACAGACAATTAAGGACAAACTTAATTTATCAACGCAACTCCCATAAAACAATTATATAACAAATTCTAATTACCATGAAATAATCTCATTAAATTTGAATCAATATTAGTAAATATTTACTACCTTCAATTTTGCACTTTTTCTTCGTAAAATAATAATTAGATATATTAAGCATATAATTAGGATTCATTCATCTTCGGCAAAAAAAAAGATTCATTTTATCTTGATTTGAATTTTTCCCTCTAATTTTCAATCATATTTCATTTGTTCCTCAATTCTACATCTTTCTAAACCTTGAACAATACATTTGATAACCTCAAATTATTTAATAAAATCCTCTGCTAATGTTACTTATAATCTAAGAAAAAAAATTGGATGTTACATGAAGCATGAAGCATGCAGAAAAAGTGGTCGGCTGGAAGCATTGTAGCCATTTGATGCGGCAGCGCAATCAACCGAAACAGTCATGCTTTAGCACTCAAGCCATTAAAGTGCAGCAAGAGTTGACAAATCATGTCCCGCAGCCCGCACAGTGCAAGCGGCAGAAAATATCGGATTTCCCATATGAATGGGGCAATGGGAATCCCGGATTACGAACTCAGTTTATCAAAGAACTGCATAAGCATAAGCATTAGCCTCTCAACCAGTCTCGAAAGTAGGATTGCATCTTCTCGCGGTTGGCCTGATTCCAGACATTCACGGTAGGGATTATCTTGTCAGGCTTCAAATACTGAAAAATCAAATTTGACACACAATGTAACGTAATTTTGAAGATACCATAAGATGTGTAACCAAACATGTAGGGTTAAAGTCGTGAACATGTATTATCACCCCAAAAAAAAAAAAAAAAAGGCCATGCACATTTACTATGCAATGTTCACCTGAACAAACTCCCACAACTCCGTGAAGCTGGAGTGCTCACTATAGGGAACCCCTGCAAGGCGAAAAGAGACTTGTAATCTAATATTGCCAAAAATTACCATAAATCAAAAGACTGCTTTGCGATCAGGCCCGGACGATGACCATACTCAGAATCTCAGCATTAAGAGCAGGAGCTTTAAACGAGTATCAATCATAATTGCATGTAACCCTTCTAGGTATCTTGGAAAGAAACAACATCCTTCACAAGTTCTTATTATATACTCCCTCCATTCCTTATTATAAGAGACAAATAACCGAAGTACGTTGATCAAAAAAACAGTTAAAATTAGTTAAGAACAATTAATGTGTAAAAAGTATAACTTTTTTCCAAAAATACCCTCATTAATAAGGAGAAAGAGCATGAGAGAGAATAATTAAATTATTAAAAGAAAGAGAAGTGGGAGGGAGGGAGAGTGTGAGTTGGAGATAATAAATATGGGTAAAATAGTAAATCAACACAAAAAAGTAGAGACAACTTGTAAGTGTCTCTTATATATAAGAACATGCCATAAGCATTAAATGTCTCTTATAATAAGGAACGGAGGGAGTATCATATAATAATGTTAAAGTACAGCTTGTCTCACCATATATCGTGACGTTGCCCTTGGAAATGGGTTTAATTTGTTCCAGATGGTTGCCTATCTTCTCACTGAAAGTCCAGCCTGAATAAATGAAAGAACATATATATTTAGATTACTCTTCGGTACTTGTGCCTGTGGCGTCTCTTCATACGATTTAAAACATGCATGACTAAAATCATTTGCATTGACAATATATGCATAACCTGTTGGACGAAATGCCAATACTGCTGTAAATTGGTTTTCGTAGGTCTTCAAGTAATCCTTCAATCTCTGATGTAACAATAACAAAAAAGGTTATGCATAGAGCTATAAAACGGTAAGAGAATTTAAAAACATAAAGCCTCAGCCTTATGAGGCAAGCTCAAAGGTTTGGAATTAAACCTCAAATCTCAGAGATGCCATGGGCAGAACATGAAGAAACGTGTTCTTTCCATTCGCACAAAGGCTATCTGAAAGCTCAGACCAACCATAAGCTTGCAAAATTCGTCTCCTCGAAGCATTTGCATAAATTTTTGCCTGAAAAGAAAGGAGCTGTATTTAATTTCAATGTAGCATAATATACCTATGAGCAGACATAGTATTACCATTTGATGTATTTGCTATTTTAAGTCAGGAAACAGTCTACAACCAATAAATGTCTAGTCACATCCTCCATGTAAACTACAACACACAGAAATCTTAAATTAGCTTACAAACGAAAGTGAGCTTCAATATTGTTGGTACTCAACAGTAGGTGGGCTAGATGTCATCAACTAATCTTTTAGGTATTTGTTTCTATTCACATCAACATGGATGATAATGACGAGCAAGGGATGAAGGATCAAAGCAACAGATGAGGTTCTAATCTGTTGTTTGGGGGGGTGGGGAGGCCCTTATACCTTGAGCGCCTTGGAAATTGCACGATAAACACATTCTTTGCCAATACTGTATGCCCCAACAACTACTAAAGTTCTTGGCTGGTTCTTGAGTTGATTCTTTGTGATCTTAACTACATAGTTTAGCACAGTTTCCTGAGGAGGGAATCTGAAACATAAAACTGTAACTTGAGAATAGTTAAATTATGTCATTATAACCAATGAGTCAATCCTATTACTAAATAACAATATTTAATCAAATTCTTGTCAAGAGCAGAGTATTACTTATACTTTGGATTGCAATACGTCGTATCCAAATAAAGTACATTAACATGTAGATTTGCGAGAAGAGGGTAATCTTGCATTTGTTTTGAAGCTCTGAAGTCCCCAGTGTGCAAATAGCATTGTCCATTTGGGAGATAGAGGTGAATTAAAGCTGCACCAGGACAATGGTTAGCTTCTAGCAAAGTCACTGTAACGCCTTCAATTACATGTTTAGTGTTCAATTCCAAAGGGCAGATATACCTACATTCAGAGTAACAGAAACAGAATTAAGAATTAACAGAAATCTTGATCAGACCAACCTTGACCTATCAGTTTGTAGGAGAAGCATCAGAGGCATAGGAAGAATGGAGACAAAAGAATAAGGCACCAGTTCTTACAAAGGATTTACTGAGAGACACATTTGAATCAGGCGAGCAGTGAGAGGAGTACAGTAGATAGGACCGTGTGACCATTTCTTGCTAAGGCCACCATAGTGATCACTGTGAAAGTGACTAAGGAAGTAAGCTGAGCATCCCTCGATGCACCCATAACGAAATGCATCCACAGAGAATGTTGTTCCTATATGGACAAAGAATATGAATTCAGAACATTTACGAGATATGTAGTGTAGTTTGCCTAGGAGTTTTCCGTTTGTCTGACATAAAAGTGAAAATTCCAAGCAGAGCTATTGTGCCAAGGTTGCAGCACAATCTAAAGCTGGCCAAATTATGTTTATCAGGACAGAAAGGCAAAGGTATTATATCTATCAATTGCAATCATTTATAAATTAGACTGTCGCACACAATTCAGATAGACTGCATTATGTCTTTAAAGATAAGACGTCCAGAAAAGGGGGGAAGGTAAGATCAAATTGCTTTCAAACTTAACGATACGCCAGTGATACTAGCATGGATTAAAGTCAAATAACCCCCAAAAGTGTTATGCTCTGGTCAACAAATGTAATTAACACATGTAAGGTCTTAAATAATATCAAAAGCAAGATGAAGAAAATTAAATTAAAAGGACTTTCACCTGGGATTTTCTTATAGAAGGGGCAGGCAGGAGACCGCCGACTAACATCGCGGGTGTTCATTCTCTTACGAAAAGGTTTTGATTTTGCGGAATGCGTCGGAACATCACGAGAAATTGATCCCCAAATTTCAGCCTTCACATTCTTCTTACCCGAAAGGATACCACTCTCATCTCCACCATCAAAATTACCCCATTGATCCTGTTTATGATCAACTGAGGAGACAGAAAAAGAATCTTCATCGCTGTTTTTCTTGAAGCCCCAAATCTGAAATAGACTGGCCTGCTTCAGCTTCTTTCCCGAAGGTATTGTAGAGTCGTGAGCGACATCCTTTCTCTTAAGGTCCACGCTGCCATTACAATCTTCCGGCAACAAGCAAGACCAATCGGTTCCACAGAGATAAAAATCTTCGGCGAATTCGCTTTTCCCCGGCGTATTATCAGATCTTTCAGCTCCGTTCTGCGCATCATCTTCGCCCGCGAGTTCTAATGGGAATCCCTCCTCGTTCAACAAAACGACGCCAGATAAAGCGTCGTTGTCGTCGGCAGCATCGCAACCATAACCGTCGTGAGGAAAAAGCTCTTCTTCTCCCGTCGGCGGTGGTGCTGATGCCTCTGCAAACAGCGGCATGGTATCGTTACCCGCGCTCTCGCGGATAGGACTGCGAATAGTCATTCGGTATTTTAAAATGAACCAGCGGGAACCATTTTTCGAGCAGTAATATAATAATAACGAAATAATTAATGAATTGTTTTTTAAAAAAAAAAAGAAGAAGAAATAATTGGTGAATTATCCAAGCAAATCATGACTTGTGGAGGTTTAGCCGTTCATGAAAATGTGAAAATCGTTGCTTTTTTTTTAAAAAAAATTATATATTTAAATGTCAAATTTTTATTAGTTCAAAAAGAATTAATATGTAACATAAGTTATATTCTCTCCAGTCCTAACTATAGGAACTATTTTATATTTTATAGTATAATTTACACTATAAACTGAGCTTATATTTAGAATAGGAGAAATATTATTTTTTTTGTTATTTTTTTTCAAATACTGATTATAAATTTTTCATTTTACATTGAATATTAATATTGATGTTGATTTAAAAGCAACCAAATGAAAAATTCTTTAGCCCCAGTAGGAACGTAATCCATAAACATATACTATGAATTTTGATTGTTTAAAATATTTTCAATCAAATAAATGCTGTAATAAATAGTTTCTTAATAATTTTTTTACCTCCTTTTTTGGGCCATCCCGCGCGCATGCATTCATCCATAACTTCCGTTATGTCTCGGTTGTTTCTTGCATCATCATTCATCACCTTCCTTCGTCCACACTAGTTCGGATCATTAAGCAATAAGCACCAAGAAATTTTTTTATCTTTTTCATATTTATATGCATCGAAAATTTCAGCTTGATGCATTAGCTCTGGCTAAAATAATAATAATAATAAAGAACAGATTAATCGTTTTGACATTCTTATAGTTATTCCCCTTTCCTCTGGATCTTTGATGCTGACCCTGGGAACCCTGGCCAAACGAAGCATTGGTGTTGGGAAATTGAATTTCTGGGTTAGTTCTTCCCGGTCCAAAGAGGGGATAGTCTCCTTTTTCTCTGACAGGTAAGCAAGCAGCTTTCCGAGCTAATAAGATTCCTAATTGTTCGTATTTCGGGTGGTTGCCTCCAATCTGTTTGCTTCTCTTCAATGCTTTCTTTTCGTTATGTTTCGGATTGAGTTGAATCGGTCATTCCGTGCAACTTCCTGGTAAATTTATTAGATCTGGATCACAAGAGTATGCTACTGTGTTTTAATTAATTTGCTTCGATTCTTTTGTTATTGGCACGCTTGTTTAAACTGCCGTTCTGTGGCTGGAAATAATAAAGATCGAATATTGGCAGCATTGTGTTACCACACCCCCCCTGCCCAGGAAAAAAAAAAAAGCCCCGGCGGCCTGGGGGATTGTTGGGGAGCTTCGTATCCATGAATATAGTTGACAATATGTGAGCTTCGGGTGCGCATATTAGTCTTACTTATCATGTAAATGAACAAATTAGCTACGTCTTCCTACATTTTTCTCTTTAGCTCATAATCTCCCTTCATTTTTCCTCTCAAATAAGCTATTATTTATCAATTGTCAGTACTGAATGACTGAATCCTATGATGGTAGGTGACACAAGACTGCTGTTGTTCTGAATTTGTCTTGCTAAGTCGGATTGCGCTCTTGCCTACTTGGACACATAAGAAAGGCTGTCCCCCTGTATCCCTCTGCTGCCTGACGTACACAATTTAAGAACCACTATATGCTGAACAGCCTCATAAAAATTTTTCTGCATGTGGGGCCTCCTTCCTAGCACCACGTCTTTCATCCATGGGGGAGTGGATCGTCGGGGCTTTTATCAACCTTTGTGGAAGCATTGCTATAAACTTTGGAACAAATCTTCTTAAATTAGGGCATGATGAGGTAAACTGCATCCTTCTCTTGGCTGGAATGGTTGGTGATGTACTCCTTTTTGTGTCCACTTCATTTTTGTATCTCTGTGGCATTATGCCATAAGACTGTAATGCTGAAGATATATTCAGCATCATTTGTCTGATTAGCAAGCAACTGCCCGCTGTCTTTTGAGGCATGTTTAGGGCTCTTGACATATGACTTCTTTGAATTTCAATGTTAGTCTGCAGCATGTGCAATTTTTGGTGACGATCATAAAATATGGGGATCATGAAACTTTTGGTCATGATCATACGCAATTAGTCCTTATAGTCAGAACAGGAAATAACACCGTAAGGACTAATGTATGTGGTTATGAAACTTTTGAGAACTTGATTGATAAAAATTAAATTTCAGGGATCAAATCAATAGATGAGGCAAACTTGAGGGACCAAAATTATCACTCAAATCTATTTATTCTCTTTTTTTTTTTTTTTGGCAATTGCAAATTAGTTGGAAAACATGAAGACGTTGATCTATATTTTCTGCAGAGAGAAAAACATTCAGGAGTTGGAAGCGATGGGGCTAATGGAAGGCTGCCCCTGAAGCCTATAATGTATTTCCAGACTTGGAGAGTTGGTATGTTCCAGTTATGTTGATATACTAGTTTTGCTCGTAAAAAATCTGGCGCATGATTCCTCTTATTGGTCTCCTTGCATGATTCTTGGCATGCAGGTATTGTCTTTTTCATTCTTGGAAATTGCCTAAATTTCATCTCCTTTGGGTATGCTGCTCAGGTAAATTTTCTATTTTTATTTGGTTTTTATTTCATTGTATGAAAAATGTTTATGACGCATGCACTGACTTTTATGGTTCGGTTGTTTGGTACATTTTACTGAGGTTAAATAATATGATTTTGATACAATGGATCCATTTCATCCTTCCTGAATACTCTCGTTTGCTCTGTCTACTGTGCAGTCACTTCTTGCAGCCCTGGGATCTGTTCAGTTTGTATCTAACATAGCATTTGCGTATTTTGTCTTGAAAAAAGTGGTCTCTGTCAAGTATGAGAAATCTGATTTAAGATTACTGTTTCAGTTTTGTTTTTTTTCGCCCAAATTTATCATTCCAATGTGAATTTGAGGGCCTCAATTTTTGTGTTTTGGACAGGGTACTCATTGCCACGGCCTTCATAGTTCTTGGAAACATCTTTCTAGTAGCATTTGGCAATCACCAATCACCCGGTATGTGTCTTGTTTTCATTTCAACTTTTTTGTTAAGGAAATGTTTATTGGCACTATGCTTGATGGTTCCCTGGAAAGATAGTGTGCATCAGTTAGTGCGTTAAGATATTATCAAGTATTATTTGCAGTTGAATATTTGATGATATGAGAAATCACTGTTCAGAAAACTGCCAACTTTAATTATACAAGGCTTTTCATGTGTGAAAGGTTTTTTGCCAGCTTTCATGTGTGAAAGTTAGGAAGGAGCATTTGTTACAATTTCCAATTGAATTAATAGGTTCTTTTTGCTCACTGTCGGGTGATGTTTAATTTCATTTCTTCTAACCTGGCGGATCATATATCTTTAATCAATATCTTTTAATAGCATCAAGCTCATGTCTGGTTGAATAATTGTTTTGCAGTGTATACGCCTGAGCAGTTGGCTGAAAAATACACCAATGTTGCATTCCTTATGTATCTCGTAATTTTGATCTTAGTTGTGGCCTTGCATCACGCCATTTACAGGTGATAAAAGAAACCTGAATCTCTGCTGTTAGTTTAATCTATCAAGGAATCTCCATCTTTATGATTAGCTTGTGAATTGCAGGAGAGGAGGCCTTTTGCTTGCCTTGGCTGGACAAGACCTCAGGCCCTATTGGCGCCTTCTTCTCCCATTTTCTTATGCAGTAGTTTCAGGTGCTATAGGTTCATGCTCAGTGTTATTTGCCAAATCTCTGTAAGTCGGCTTCACCACCATGTCATTTTGCTTTCTGATTTAATAGCTGTTCATTTTATTCTAATGTCAAGTATTTTTGCAGTTCTAACCTCCTACGATTAGCCATGTCCAGTGGTTATCCGTTGCACAGCTGGTTTACGTATTCCATGCTTCTTCTTTTCCTTAGCACGGCTGGGTTTTGGGTAAAACTTAGTCAATGTGGTTATGTTCTCTACTAATCAGCAGATGTTATCAGGTTCCAATGAATGATGGCCAAGTTCTGATGAATATTAACACAGGTATTTCTATGTGCACAGATGACAAGGTTGAATGAAGGGCTTTCCTTGTTCGATGCAATTCTTATTGTTCCCATGTTTCAGATAGCCTGGACATTCTTCTCCATCTTTACAGGATTTGTATATTTTCAAGAATATCAGGTTCTCTACTTCTCTCTTCTGAAATGGACTTTAACCATCATTATTAAATTACCATAGTGAGAGTCCTACCAAAAAAAAAATATCTATATTGAGAAAAATACATCAAATTAACCAATGGCAGATTTTAATTTTTGCGGAAGCAAGTCCTCTAGCTTTGGGTTTTTGATGAACAAACAACGCATGGTGCACTTTAGTATTTTCAAATTTCAATCCTTTCAGCAGCAGATGGTGTTTAGTTTGGTTTGAAAATCTCTTAAAATCATGTTTTTCTTTATATTGCAAATTTCAATTTGATTCGCTGGAAAACTCTGCCTTTTTTATCTTCCCCACTATTGTTGTTGCTTTTTTCCTCAATTGGAAAAGGTGAAAATTTGAGGAGAAAAACCTGACTACTTGCTCGCAAAAAATTCAATGTTGAGAATTTAGACATGCAGCTGAAGAATAGCATCATTATTTGATGGATGCTGAATGTTTTTGCATACTGAATTTAGTTATGGAAACCTTTTTTTGTTTTTTTTTTTCTTCCTGAAAGTAGGTATTTGATGCATTGAGGACAACAATGTTTATACTTGGAATGATGTGCGTGTTCATCGGCATCTGTTTGCTGGCACCTGATGATTCCAGAGGTATTATGAGTTTTGTGATTATCATGACTCAACATATATACACCAATTCAAGGGATGCGGTGATAATATGTAATTAATTGTGGAACACTGTAGGCGCTGAGGTTAAAGATAGCTCTTTGGAGTCCAAGGTGTCCTCTGGCATTTCAACGGAAGTGAACAGGTACACTGGGCATCATCATAAATTCCTGTAGACGTGGGTTGTTTAATTTGTTAAAAAGCGAACCACCAATCTCAGCATCTCTCTCCATCTCGATGAATGAGTGAAATATGTGTACATTGTCTCATAAGTTTATATCACTGATTAGTGTTGATCTCAGTGAAATATCCGGTACTCTTTGACCCTGTCATGCCAATGAGCTTATAGCTCATATAGCGACAGCGTCAAACTTGTAAAGCCTTGTGCTCTCTTTGTAATAAAGTTTTTCTTGTGAAATCAACTTCCAGAGTATAGATAATCTGCATTGCTCTTCTAAAACTGGAGTCCCTTGAATTGTTTGGGCGTTTGCATGACTGTATATCAACCATATTTTCCTTTCAATTTCTCTAATATTTCGTGATTGTCAGAAATTTGCGTCTTATCGTGGTCGTTTATTTTCAATCATACTCACCCCTCTTTTATCTATTGAAGGCCACAAGCCTCATCTGAAGAGGCAATGTACAAAGACACGAAATCATTTGTAAAAAGAATGCTACTGAAGATTACTGGCGTGCTAGTGAAAGCAAAGGTATTACTATATGCCTTGCCATTCTATTCTGATATTGCCTAGTGGTTGGTGAATAACTTTGTTAGCTTCTCTTTGCTTGCAGACTGCCTGTAGTGCATCTGTAGGTTTTGGGGAGGACAGCATTCATGCATCTTCTGTTCTTGTGATGCCTATGATGTCGTCAAGAATGACTGGATTTAGAGGCAGTGGGCCTGAGCGGTCTAAGATTTTGTCCATGAGAAATTCTGGTTGGAGTAACGTCCCCACGGACGAAGATGCTGCCACACTGCTGGAATCTAGTTCCAGTCTCCCTACGACCCCTTGATATAAAATTGTAGTTATACAGCCTATAGGTTTGGGATTCTCTTTTCCCCTTGTGTTCTCGTTCTTTTTTTATTGATTGGAGGCCTTGAGATACAAAACTATGAAAATTCAGTTCATGGCCCTGATAGGCTTATGTGTAAAGTCCCAAAAAATAGGAAAAAACCATACGTTGTACATTGTAAATTCTTGTTCTGCATAAGTGAAAAGGGAAGGTCTCTATTTAGAAATGATTTTGTTGATTTTTAACTAGCAGCTAAATAGCTGTTCATAGTCTTTCATCATAACCGATACAAGTCTTGCAGAATTTAAAGAACAGATCATATTATTTTTATGAATAGTATGATGGTTGTGGGCAGAAGAATTTAAACCTTACCTATTTTTCCTCAAAAAATCATATCAAGAGCCAATGAAAAAACAGATAAGCCTGTCAACAATTCCCGGCTGGCACAGGTGCCTTAATTATCTAACTTCTAAAGAGTGAGACCTTTCTGACAAAAAGCAGAGAAGCTTCTCGGTAGATGCCAAAATTCCTTGAAGGAAAGCATTTGAATACGGTAGTTGCTTGACTTGCTTTTTGGCTCTCCGTCCGCGTAGAGAAATGGGCGACATAGACGGAAATCTACAAAACAACACCTTCCGATCAAACCCGCCTAGTGAATCACGTGCTGGTCAAAAAAAAAAAGAATCACGTGCATGGGGCCACCAACAACACGTTATAACTTCATAAGCTATAACGTCTTGACAACGGCGGGATATTCGACAAATTGCAGACAGGTAGTGCCTCAACAATGGAACTTTGCTCCATAGAGCTCAAGATTATTTCCTGCAAAGACCTTAAAAACTTCAACTTTTTCCAGAAACTCACGATATACACACTCGTCTACATTCATAGTATCCACCCCGAGAGAAAATTGGATGAGAAACAGGCGCAGGAACAGAAAACCCATACAGATAGGGAAGGGAATGAAAATCCCGAATGGAATGAAGTAATGAAATTTTATCTGGGTTGGGTTTCGCTTCATGATTGCGACGACCTCTTCCTCCATTTCGAATTCCGCCATGACGGACTCATAATTGGAGACAAGCTCATCGGAGAGGTCCGCGTGCCTCTCAAGGATCTGATCCTAGAAGCTGGCAATGCTCCAGGCGTGGTTCGATTCCTGAATTATGAGATTCGCAATGGTGAAGGCAAGCCCAACGGAATTTTTAATTTCTCTTGCAGACTGATTGACAAGAAGGGAGCGGAGAATCGCATTTCGTCGGAAAATGTTGAAGGTAAAATCACCGGGTACCCTCTTCTGGATCCAGCTCTCACAGATCACTATCCTCCGAATGAGTCACGCATGCAGACTTCCACTTTGGAGATCCAAAGCATATCTAGTGGTGATAGAATCAGCTATCCGATAGTGACGTTACCAGCGGATCCCATCGACGGCGGCCACAATTCTCCATCTGCGCCACCGCTTGTTTCTTCGGCGTCGGCCGCGGATTATCATTACCACTACTCACCTATCTCGCCCCAGTATCCACCTCCGTCAGCAGGACTATTTATGCCGCCGCCGCCGCCGCAGCTGCCGCCCCCCTTCCCAATGCATTACCCATATCCTCCTCCCCCTCCCCCTCCGCCTCCGCATATGGAAGCCTATGGACCGCATTTCTACGAGCCGGTTAGGCCCGAAGCCCATGGATGGGCATCACACCCAAATTTTCAACATTCTTGGGGTCCGAGGTGGTGACTGGTGACTGACTTCTGAATACTGATATTGATGCGCCTATGTCTCTGTCTCTGGTGATTAGGATGTCGCTGCTTTGTTTTGAACCGATGCTCTTGGATTTTTCCCCTCTCAATTTTGTTCTGTAAGCCGGGTAGCTTTGTGTACTTGTGTGTATTAGTTTGATAATTCTTATTCAGATTGTGAGTATATTCACTGGTTTTGACAGCTCAAGCATCTTTAACACCAACCATGATCCTTATAGTATATTCTGCAATCCTCTAGGCAGCTCTTTTTATTCCGTGAATGACAGACTTAGTTTCTTTAAGCTTTAAGGTGTCAGTCAAAATTTACTCATGGCGCACAAGACACTATAACTACAGCTAAGCAGAAACAGAAAACGAGCTTTAACTTGTATATTTTACATGTTCATAGAATTTAGCATGTGGGTATTTGATTCATTAATGAGAGAAAGAAAGAGAGGAAAAGGTGAGTTTAGGTGTTCGGTTCTCAAAAGCTGAAGGAGACGTTATACCAGAAGGTCCCCCAGTGCACCAACAACCGATGGAACAGCTAAGCCAACTTCTCTGTATATCCTAAACTACAGTTCATTCAATGATCGCCCCAATTTTCCCAGACAAAGAAGAACGACGTTAATAGGCAAACGCAATATTATATTTTATAATAGGGGAATGTTACAGAGTGGGAAAAATATTAAATACAAAAAAACTTCACAATCCAATGTCATGAGTAATAAGATAAAAGTCTCCGGAGTATTAATGTCAAGTTGTAGAGATGGGGATTATACAAGTATGCCTTGTCTTTAAACCTCTTGGTATTCTAGTAATTGCATGCGGCTCTGCATCCTTAGCTGTTCATAGAACCTTCTGATGAAATCCTCAGCCTGATCATCAACGTGATCATTCCCAACATCTTCATTTTCATCTTCTGATGAATAATTTGAGATCCTCACAGAAAATGGTGATTGAAGTGGGCTCCTTCTATCTCCAGGTGACAAATAATCAGACGCTTCAAACCTGAAGTTAAAGGCGTACTCTGGAGTCTTGGGCACCAAAACCACAGCTTTATTGAGATCTTCTTCAATGACCTGAGGAGTGTTAATGCAGGGGAAGTTGAAATGGTGCTTGCGCTTTAGGACGTGGAAAAAAACAGGATTAGGACTGTTGCTGCAAGAGAATTCATATTCCTGTAGGCCAAAGCCACCACGTGCCACGCTCCTTGAATGGTGATGGTGAAGATGGAACGACATGAGATTGCCCAGAGACTTCCTCAGAAGCTTCCCTTTCTTCATCATCAGATTCATGTCCATAATCAGCTTCCTCTTTGAGATCAGACCCTTCCTCATCATGAAGAAGGTGATCCTCAACACGTTCCATACCCTCTTGCCTATAACTGCAGAATGTACCTCCATCTCTCAGAAGATCAATATCACAATGTAAGAAACAAAGAACTGAGGATGATGATTCTTTTTTGTCAAACAGATGGTGGGTTTTCTTTTCTTGTTTCTGCGAGGCGTGCTAGACCTCGCAGAAGAAAAGAAAACCCAATGAGAGGACATGGACAGTGAAGGGAGGGATTATATAGGAAGGAGATGATGAGGGTTGGTCTGAGGATACTTGTGGGATTCTTGTTTTTTTTTTTTTTCAATAGATTAAGTACCAAAAAAGGCATAAGGAAGAAGGGAGGTTATCATTTTCAAATGGACCCAGCAACCGCTCCCCTGCACTCCACTTGATTGGAAGAAAAAGAAAAACACAAGAAAAGCAACTACCCGTTTCAAAACAATGATGGGTCTAAGGGCCTGTTTGGGTATCCTAAAACCGTGGTTTCAGAAGCACTTTTTCGCAAAACGAGATAATCTCCTCCACATATTTACTTCGTAATCCGTAAAAGCACTTCTGAAACCATGGTTTGGTTTCTATCCAAACACACCCTAAGTCTAATGTAACATTTGAATATTGGTTACAGGAATTGAATTCACATGCATCCGACAAGTTGATGATTAGTTTAATTACAAGACAATAGTTCATAAACATGAATTTTGATGGCTAATTTTGAGATACCTTCACTTCTTTCATTTCAATTACCCCACGTTAAGATTATTATAGCTTCAAGGAAAAATTTGGCCCATAAATTCTCATATATAAGTTGGGTTCAGATGGACTAAACCTTGAGATTATTCCCCTGTCCTTTATCAAAAACTCTGGTTGGATTAAAGAACGTAATTAAAAGTAGTTAAATTTGAAAACTTTTTAACAACTTTTCAATATATGAGGCTGGAGAGAATGATAAAGTAGATTAATTAGAGAAATCAGGGTAAAGGAAGATGGATGAGTTGCGAGGTGGGTAAGGGGACAACTGGGGAAGCTGTCAAATAGATCAGAAAACATGGGGAAGTCAGAAACAACCAATGAATTGTGGGTTAAGTAGCCAACTTTGACTTACATTAATCCTCCTGCCTAATGTTTCTTAAGCATCACATAACCGCCGGATATACCATACACGCTAGTTAAATCGCATAAAACTGCCCCATTCTCTCTTTTCATGTATTTATTTTCTACTTAACACGATTTCCCCTTTATGTGTAGTTATTTATCGTTGAAGGAAGCTAACTGATTCATTATTTTCTATCCTGAAAAAAAAAAAACATATATTTATCACCTCCAAATAACGATATCTAATTAATCGAAGAGATGACAACTTTTTCACACAAATATGCATTAAAAAAAAGGTACTGTTATGTAAATAAGGAAAAAAAAAATAATATCAACGTCATCAACCAATATTCCCATGAAGTACTATTAAATGTCTAACAAATCATATTGTCCATGAATCATTAATAATGCCTTCATTCCTCAAATTAATGCAATACAGGAAGGGTCCATTTAGTTGAACTTTGAATTGTGAATTAACATGGTAAAGAAAAAAAAAGAATTGTGAATTAATACTTGTGGTTTTTGTTTTTTTCCAAAGAATGACTTTGCTCCATTCATTAAAAGAGAAGAATCAAACCCCCTGGCCCCAACTATTTACTTAATCATCTACCACTCGCGTCATTCTAAAATTAACATCAATCAATTTCCTAATTAATTACATGATTAGAAATTTCTATTCATTCTGTGAGTTTATTTTATTGTTGGGCTACGCAGTGTGGGCCTCCGATATTCCTTGGGCCTTATTTAACACAGGATATTGCTCTTATGGTTTTCGTCCAACCCCCCCAAAAACAAGCAATTATTGTGAATATTTTCTTTTCATTTGGCGCACTTTTGTGTATTATTACCTCCGCTCCTTAATATAAAACCTTGTTTGACTTTTATTTTAGTTCTAAATATAAGATATCAATCCACTTTGTCTCTTATATTTATAAATTTTTTTTCTAAGATAGTCCTCCTAACAATTATAGTTATAGCCAATACACTTAATTAATAAGGATATTTTAGGTTATTAAAAAAAAGGATATTTTAGGAAATTCTTTAATTTTTTCAAATCAATCAACTAACTCTTATAATTAGGACTGGAAGTAGTATTACTGTTGATGGTTCTTCATTAGCATAAAAGATTTTAAGGTATCGAGATTAACTCCTTCAAATAAACCAAACTGCTCTATTTCTTGTGACGACGAGATAAAGTTGTTGTGCATATGAATGCGGGGTTTTAAGCTAAATTTGAAATAAAGTGATTTTTTTTTTTTTAACGAGCAAATAAAGGGATGTTTAATAATAAGAGTCGTTATTTAGATGAGGAATCAGTACCACCCACGCTTTCGGGAAAAACGTACACAAATAGTGTTCTGAATGCTAATTCAATTAACGTAACAGTACAGATGTCTTCAGTTAAAATATGCTAAACCGATTGGCCACCTTAATCTGCAAGTACAAAATAATGAAATAAAGCTTTTTTTCCTTTGCAAGTTTTTTCTTTCTTTTTTTCGGATGGCAGTTTCCAGAGATTTGTAATTTATAATTAAATTAAAATATTAATGTTTTCAATAAAATAAAAAGACTAATTAAACCAAAGTATACGTTGGATTTGCAAACAGGATCGCACCGATGGCAGACAACGTACGTAATTTCTGAGAAAATATCAAGTTCGCGGGGACTGCTTTTTTCTTTCTGGTCCTGGCCGGTGAGATTAAAACACATGCAAGCCTTATCGATCTATCTATCTGTGTCTGCTTTCCCGGAAAGATAAAGAGAATAAAGCCACACGACCAGAGCCAGTTTCCGTCTACCTTCTCACTTTTATCATCTTCTCCATCCCTTCCTATTTTTGTATCCACATTCTTCTCCCCCCCCCCCCCTGTCATACACAAAATGATTTGATATTTTTTTCATACATAGATAGTTAAATCTTTCTCAAATGCGTGAAGACAACTAAAGGAATAAATTATATATTAATTGATATATTGTCCTCTCAGGTCTTTAATATTAAAGTTAGATAATTAATTTATAAATATAAAAAAATTAATTAAGTTAGTTATTTGTAATTATATCTTGATCCTATAAACTACATTCTTTAATTACGTACATTGGAGTGACCTCTTAATTAAAGTAAATTTTTATTTTAGTTCTTATATTTAGGATGAGAGGCAGTATTACAAATATTACATGCATGTGCTTTGACCAAGAATTAAAGAAAATGGAAATTAAGAATGTGAAGCGGGGCGGGTTGCAAAGAACTTCGTATTTAAGATATAAATAAACGTAGTTGCTGGCTTGCTCCAAAAAGAAGATATAGCTGTTTTCTGAAACTGCACAGAAAGGTCGGAAAGGCATGTAACGTATACGTATGTCTTCAATAAAGAAACTACACAGTAATCCAAATGCATTGCACCTTTGTTTTTACTTCGTCTCTATAAAGTTGGTACATACATACATCATAATCATCGATAGATTCATATGCATTTCCTTAAGTTTTTCTTTTTTTAAGCGTAGTGCGACACTGGGGACCAAATACTTATCTCACGTGTGATTCATATATATATACCACCTAAATCATATTTAATCCGTTCCTCTTGTCTTGGCAAGGGGGGAAAACATAAGAGAAAGGTGGTTGGATCCAAAAGAAATTTTAATTAATAATAGTTGCATTCTAGAAAAAAAAATTGTTAAAATATGAGTTACAAATCAGTATTAATTCAAGTAGATCCTTGTGTGTGTATATGTATCCCAACAATAAATAACTAAGAGTGACGAAATATAAAATTTAAATGATTGGTTTATAACTAAAATTTTTAACTGATATCCCCCCAGTAGGAATCGGTTCTCTCCAATGTGAGTTATCAAATTGATTATTTAATTAACAGTTTTTTTTTTTTATGTGATGCAACTTTTAACGAGAGAACTTTAAGTAAAAATTATACTACCTCCGGTCTTTAATATAAGACCCTGTTTGATTTTTATTTTGGTTCTAAATATAAGACCTAAATCCACTTTGTCTCTCATATTTACTCAATTTTTTTTAAGATAGTCATTCTGATAATTATAGTTATAGTCAATACACTTAATTAACAATGATATTTTAGAAAAGATAACACCTATTTAGGACAAATAACTAACTCAGCTTACTTCCTTGATCTTCTCAAATTGATCAACTGATTCTTATAATTAGGACCGGAGGTAGTATTCTTTAATTTTCTTATATATGAAACATGTTCAAACTAACCGGTTTTTCTCTTTTAATATTGGATATTTACACTGTTAATATAACAAACAAATAAATAAAAATTATACTTGATTTATCCAAAACTTGCTAAGGAAAATATCCCATTTATTTTGGGTCTGAAAAATATCCCATGATCGATTGCCCACGTACAATTTCCTTTAAAAGAAACATGGGTCCAAAATTTCGTGGTACGTAAACTGTGGGTGATGAGCAAATCATCAAATAATTGAAATACATTGGTGGTGGTTTACTAATCCTAGTCACGAGGAACCCAAAAAGCTATAATATCGACCAAAACTAGTGCCCAAGTGAGCATAATATGGTATATAAAGTAATACTATAGACATCTTTTAATAATTATAGAAATATCAAGCAGACATCTTCGAATTTATAGAAATATCAAGTTGCACCAAAGTTGCTTTGTCATGTCAAACTGCTATGAAAAGTCTAAAAAAGCGCAAGGCGAGGACAAAAACTTTAAATTAGTTTACATAGTAGTGCGCTGCACTTTTTGATTGATTGATTGAGCTTCACAATTGATTTATGTGGTTTCCATGTGTATTAGATTTAACTTATTCATAAATTTCACCCACATGCACATTTTAAAGTTAATAATGGGCTATGCAAATACTTCTTCTGTAACTTTATTGTTGTGACTGTACATTAGATCGTATTGCATTTTCTTCTGTCGTGCATGTAATTTGGACAATGTCATGCACGTCTTCTTCTTTTCATTTGTTGTTCGTAAAAAGCAGGCTACATCAATGGCCTTATACCCAGATGATATAAATATTTTCTTATAAGTGGGACATTACGAGTTTGATATTACTTATAACTTCAAGTCTTATATTACTTATAACTTCAGGTCGTTAGTGTCTGCGGTGTAAAAAAGTAGTGCGGAAGATTAAATTGAAATGGGAAAATGGTGAGGACTTGTTGTAGACTTAGAGGTTAAGTCTTCAAAGAGAGCATTCTATGGCACGTTCAACCTTGTTCACGCAACGCCTTAAAATTCGTTGCTGCACTAAGTGGTCCGGAATTTCGGCACAGTTTCTTCCACTTTATTATTATTGCTCTGTCTCCCAAAATATGATTCCGTTCCGTAGTTCACAGTTCCACCCAACAGAATCTCACATTTAGTAAACCGACCACTATCGCCTTGTCATCACAAAGAAAGAAGCTTCCATATTCTGACGGTGACGATCGATGTCCTCTCGCCGTCTGATCCGTTTAGGTTTCATCCTCGTGTATGCGTCTCTCTCCCTCAAAAGCTTCAAACGGGTCAAATAATTGGGAGGCCCTATGGTTTGAGGTTGGAGGGGAGTGTGCCAAAGCAGAGGCTGAGGGCCATCTCTTGTTTCTTTTTCTGCTTTAGGTCAATATCAAAATCTTAAAAACATCAACCTTGCTGAAAAGGTTCTAATCCCCCCACTGTCGATCTCTGTATGTGGGGTAGCAGCTTCGTTACTTATTCATATGCCACTTTACCGGCATTTATTCATAAGGCCTATAATGCATGGCCACGTGTCCTTCGCTTTATTTGCTTTATCCACCTGCGTTACCCTTTTCTTTTCTTAATCTCCACTCTTTCTTTTTCAGGTTCTCTCTCTCTCACAAAGCCAGCTAGTTGTCATTTAGATCCATGGATGGTTTGCATCATTTCGCCTGGTGACTCTTTCTATATAAGCCCATTTACCCACATTGTACTCTTTCCATGCCAAAACACTGCTTTTCTCTCGGCTACGTACATAGCTTAGTGCTCTTATCTTCTTCGTATTATCATATATCTCCTCCTTCTCTGTGCTTCAATCAACAGCATAATGAATCCCAGATAGAGTCCCCTTTAGTCCTCATCCAAGCAAGCTTCAAAATCCCATCTTTTCAACCAAAAAAAAAAAACGACAAGATGAAGAACAAAGCATCGGGACTGGTGAAGCAGATTATAACTGGTCTGAGTTCAATGGCAAGAGCAAAAACTGTGTCTCTGAGGACAAAAGCAAGTGCCATCAAGGCCCGTCTGATCATATTCTCGCTGCTGAGGAACAAGAAGTTTCTCATGAGCTCCCTCTCGGAGAAGCTCCACTCTGTTCTGGGCCAAAATTCTCATCCCAGTGAAGAATGCTTCTTGGAAGATGGGACCGACCAGAACAAAGCCATGGTGGTATACACTGACAATGCCCACGCTTACGAGGCCCTGCCCAATCCCAGTGACACCCAAGTGGTGGAGGATAAAGACCGAGACGGCTATGAAAGTTACTACAGGTACGAGGAAGACGAGGAGAAGTACCCGGATCTGACACACACTCTGTTTGACTCGGAGGATTTGGACTTTGGAGGGTCTGTTATTGACATGGTGAAGAACTCGAAGGAGGAAGCAGGGCAGGAGTTCAAATTGGAAGACGAGATTGACCATATGGCAGACCTGTTCATAAGAAGATTCAGGAAGCAGATAATATTGCAGAAGCAAGAATCCCTCAAGAGGAACCGGGAAATGCTGCAGAATGGTGCATGAACAGTACCAGTACATGCACGTTTAGCTCAACTTTGTCTCCCTTTATTACTTTTTTAATTAGAATAAGGGAGGCCCACAAGCTAAGCCTTTTCCTCAGCTTTATTTATTTCCTGAGTTCTAATGCTTAATACTGGTAGAGGGCAAAGAACAACTCAGATTCTCTCTCTCAATGTTGGAGATTCATTGAAGTGCCTTGTATTTAATGGTACGGACATGATCTGCAAATCTGAAATCTGCAAATCCCTGACTAAGTTGTATGTGATAAATGGACTCCGCGACTTTTTTGGTTAATTGAATAAGGGATTCTTGATTCAAATTGCTGGAATTAATTATGTTAGTAAAGTGTGACTGAAGTATAACGACTAGAACTTCGTTAATTCGTGGCCTAGAAAACCCAAAAAAAAAAGAAGAAAAAAAGCAGCGGTGAGTTGTGACGGAAGTATAACGATTATAGACTGAAAGAAAAGACATACAGATCCCGTTTGGTACAAAGCATTGAAAATGAGATATTGGGATTGCAATTAAAAAATCATTAAAATAATATTTAGTATGAGTAATTGTTTATTGTATGGGATTAGGCAAACTAATGGAAGTAGGATTAGGAAATACTACTTTCCCTGTGGTATTCTCCAATTCCATATACATAGGTTTGACTAATCTCATATAACAAATATTCTCTTGTACTAAACACTCTTTTAATAAACTTTTTCAATTGTAATCCAATCTCAATCCTTTATTTTTAATACTTCATACCAAACTTAATGATATGGTATATGTGGAAAGAACCGAATTAATAAGAGAAAAGTGAGAATATTTGGAACAAAAGTTGCAAGGTACAATATAAGAAGCATGTGATGCCAGATACTGAAGATCTCGTTGCAAGCTGGGAGCAACCATTAACACAACAGCTTCTTCCACTCTGAAGTTTCCTGGACACTTCCCTTTAGATGAAGCATACAAAAGAAGGACGCACGAGGAGGTTGTGCTTGCTTGCTCGGAAGGCTTTCTTGTTCATGTTTTGGCTTGTTGGGGTTCAGAGCGCCTCTCTAATTTAATAATAACAGTATGTCAGATCTTAGACTATATCGTCCAAATGTTAATACGGGTTCCAGTATAGCAGTGATCATGATGATTTGGTCAGGTTTTTTCTTCATGATTTATTCTTTTTTTTTTTGAGGTGTTTGAATGGAAACCAAAACATGATTTAAAAGGTACTTTTACGGTTTACGAAGTAAATACGTAAAGAAATTTGTCTTGTTTTACACAAAAAAAAACTTTTTTAAAAAATATTTTTGAGAATTACCAAATACCTCCTTCGTTCTTTTTCACCTTTATGGTGTAATTGGACAGTAATTCTGGATCTGCTTCATCCCAAGGTAACTTTCACTATTTTAGATATATCGCATCGCATCTGGAGCTAGAAAGAAGAAACCATAAAGTGGTTGTTAAAATAACCATAAAGTAGTTGTTAAAATAAACATAAAAAAATATTATCTCTTGTCCTTAATATAAGATCCTGTTTGATTTTTATTTTAGTCTTAAATATAAGACCCTGATCAGCTGATATACTTTGTCCCTCATATTTATACATTTGTTTTCCAAAATAGTCCTTGTAACAATGATAGTTCTAATCAATACACTTGATTAGCAATGATATTTTAGGAAAGACAACATCTATTTAGGACAAATAACTAACTCAACTTACTCCCTTAATCTCCTCAAATTAGTCAACTGACTCTTATAATTAGGACCGGGGTAGTATTAACTATGGTTGGTCCAAAAAAAATAAAATATGATTTCTCATGACCTCAATATTACATTTTAACTGAAATATTTTAAACATGATAACATTGTAATTGTAAGATTTTTGAAAATTAACATAAACGTAAATTTTTTAAAAAATTATCTTCTTTATAAAATATGAATGAAAATAAATAAGGGTGGCTGGAGCCAGACTGACGCAGGAATGGGGGTCCATTTGCGAACAGATACAAGGCTTTTTCCGACTTTAAGGGTATGTTTGGCTCAATGAGAGGAAGGGGAGGGGAGGGATTTTAATGGAAGGAAGGTGAGTGGAAGGATTTTAATATTATCTTGTTTGGATTTATAAAAAAAGAGAGGAGGGGAGGGAAAAATATTTTAATATGGATAATTTTGCTCTTATTTTATTTAAGGTGTGGGCATAATGGTTACAATATGACAAAATATAGACATAATGATCACAATATAACAAAATATGGGCATAATGGTCATAATATGACAAAAATTATCCTTTCCCTCCAAATCTTCCCAATTTTGGAGGGGAGGTTGAGGAGGGGAGGGGAGGGAAAATTTTAAAAAATTTTCCCTCCTCTCTTAAAATTTGTGTGTTGTCAAACAAGAGAAAATGATTAAAATTCCTCTCCTTCCCTCCCCTTCCTCCCAAATCCCTCATACCAAACACACCCTAAGGCCACGGATTGGTTTTGCAAGCTCCATAAGCTCAACACAATAATACAGATTGTATTGGATTTTTTTTTTGACCAAAAAAATACAGATTGTATTGGATTTGAAAGGATGCTAATTTAAGTTTAAATATAGAACATTATGACATGCATATTATTATTTGTGCGCTCGTAGGCAAAAATAAAATAAAACATCATACTAGTCGTATATTTTATAGGTCGTAATTCATAGCTGGAAAAAGCGGTCACAATTCACAAATCACAAATCACAAATCAGCGTTCTAATTTAGGATGTCGAGAATTGGCGCCCAAGAACGGTCAATTATGAGCTTTTTGCGCGAGAAAAAGGGGTCATGCTGAAGAGAATTGGCGCCCAGAAAATGTAATTCCTGTTTTATCCCCTTGTAAGGCGGTTCCCATGGAATTCTGAAACGAGTTATTGCCATGAATCCTAATGTGCACGCTCCATTGTTGTTCTTTAAGGATCGAATTCGAGTCTTCACCCTTGAGGATTTGAAGTATCCCACGGGACCGGCGATTTCTGTTTTCCTTAACCCTAAAATGTAAGGACAACAGTCCAGGCGGACTTCATTTTTTCGGTTTCACACTATTCTCAGTTTTCTGCGAAGTGGGATCTTAGTCAAGGGACACCATGGATTCTCTTGACACCGATCAGAACTACCCATCACAAAGTTCAGCGCTGGCAACTGATGGTGACTCACCTACTGGTAATACCATCGAATGTCTTCAACTGATTGTATCCTGATTTGCGCTGTCCTTATTTGCTTTAATTTCTTTACGGGATTGCATTTTATATGGGGGTTTGCTTTTGCGTATCTACGACTCGTATCGCGTTGCTAACAGATCTCTTGTTGACATGTTATTTCAAATTCCTTTTTTCTGCTTCAGCATATCCCTGTTTTCTTTAGCACTGTTGTTATTCAAAATTTCACTTTATCTGCACATTCACGGATTTCTATCAAGCGACTTCATTCGCCGGGGGAGGGTTCTGTGATGAACTTTTAATGCCTTGGTGTAGAAGTCTGAGTCTTCCGACAGCTTGCTTTTGATAATTGAAAATACCCATACTGCTTATTTTTCCTTTTATAATTTTAGATGCAGGAGATGATGTCAAGTTGAGTTCTAGGAACCAAAGAGAAGCTCTGCCAGGTGAGCCAAAGTGTGTTCTATGTGGCCGCTATGGCGAGTACATATGTGATGAAACGGATGACGACGTTTGCAGCTTGGAATGTAAACAAAAACTACTACGCAGAACTGCCTGCTCCTCACTGCCTGCTGTTACTCGTCCCTCTAAAATGCTTGCGGCTACCGATGAATGCTTTTATGTTAGAGATAATGATTATGAATCAGGTACTCAGTCTAGAGATGAGGCCGATGTGCTTAGAAAGAAACTTGAAATTCGTGTGAAGGGTGATGTAGTAGCACCGATATTATCATTCACTAGTTGTAACCTTCCTGATAAGCTCCTCCACAATATAGAAGCTGCAGGGTATGACATGCCTACACCTGTCCAGATGCAGGCAATCCCAACTGCTTTGGCGGGAAAAAGCATGCTTGTTTTGGCTGATACAGGGTCTGGAAAGTCTGCTTCATTTTTAATTCCAATAGTGTCTCATTGTGCAAGGCATCGCCTTGAGCATGCTTCTGATAAGAAGACGCCACTAGCTATGGTGTTAACACCTACGAGAGAGCTCTGTATTCAGGTTGAAGAGCACGCTAAATTGCTTGGAAAGGGATTGCCTTTTAAAACTGCACTTGTGGTTGGTGGTGATGCCATGGCTGGACAGATCTATCGCATTCAGCGAGGAGTAGAACTGATTATAGGAACTCCAGGAAGGCTGATTGATCTTTTAACGAAGCATGATATTGACTTGGATGATATGATGACTTTTGTGGTGGATGAGGTGGACTGCATGCTGGAAAGGGGTTTCCGAGATCAGGTCATGCAGATATATAGGGCTATGTCCCAGCCCCAGGTCTTGATGTATTCTGCAACAATCTCTCACGAGTTAGAGAAGATGGCAAATTCTCTGGCGAAAGATACTGTGGTTGTATCTGTTGGCGAGCCTAATAGACCAAATAAGGCTGTGAAGCAGCTAGCTATTTGGGTTGAGTCAAAGCAGAAGAAGCAGAAGCTGTTTGATATTTTGGTCAGTAAGCAGCATTTTAAGCCACCTGTAGTTGTGTATGTGGGGTCTAGACTTGGGGCAGATCTTCTGGCCAATGCCATTACGGTTACCACTGGGATCAAAGCACTGTCAATTCATGGGGAGAAGTCTATGAAGGAAAGGAGAGAAATTATGAGGTCCTTTTTAGTAGGTGAGGTTTCAGTGGTCGTGGCAACTGGAGTTTTGGGTAGAGGGGTTGATCTATTAGGTGTGAGACAGGTAATTGTGTTTGACATGCCTAATTCAATTAAGGAGTATGTACATCAGATTGGAAGGGCGTCAAGAATGGGAGAGGAAGGTCAAGCCGTAGTTTTTGTGAATGAGGAGAATAAGAATGTCTTCGCAGAGTTGACTGAAATCTTAAAATCTGCCGGAGCAGCTGTGCCTCGGGAGCTTATCAACTCACGATATACCAAGGGATTTTTCTCCGGTGGCAAAGGTTCAAAAAAGAGGAAGAATAGGTCGTGAATTTTCCAATCACATGCTGAATCACTTCCCACTTGCATCTCTGCCTTCTTGGATATTGTCGCTGGAAGGATTTAGTCAGGCATTTGTTACACTTCGAAAAGATGATGATCTATTGACGGTTAAATGAATGCAAACCAATTTTGGGTGTTTTATCACATAACCAATATACGCCCAGTATACTTTCCTTATCCTAGTTGTTTCAGGCTCCAGTCAGTGGCATAGTCTGAGTCCCTGAGAGTAGAGGACAGTATCACACACCGTCCTTCGATTTTTTCTTTAGAAAAATCGTTGTCTTCTTTGATCTTTTGTAACGGGTAAAACGTTGGTTTAATCCATCAATACAAGCTAGAGATTGCTAAAATTTTGATCAAGGCCCGTGTTTCATGGTGCTTACAGCTACTGCTGAAACAATGACGTTACCTCCTTTCCTCCTCCAGACAATGACGTTGGAATTGGATACTTGCAAGAAAAGAATGGGAGAAAACTTAGAAGCGGAAAAAATTTTAGGTGGGAAAGAGTGTGCTACAGTTGTATCTTGAAAGGATCTTATGGTTGATATGGAACCTGGACTCTACACCACAACTCGCGAACCGCGAATCGATGTTAAGTATTACCCAACAAGCAAGTTAAAGTGGGGCTTGTTCTGAATCGTCCGGAAGAGAATATACGCGCCTTCACTCTCGAATCGGGGACTCAACCCGATTTAAACGGATTTGTTTAGTTCTTGCGCTTCTCTTTCTCGGAGACCGCGGAATCCAACAACCCCTCTCAACCGCCAACCAACGGCAACCACGTTGCTCTCTTTTCTAATATAGCTGATCTTCCTAATTTTGGGCAAAGCTTCTGTCTATTTCTATATTTTGAATAAAAAAATTAACAGTCACTTTTCATTGCGTTATCATGCATAAAGGACAGATTAATGTCAATATATTGTGTGTATGATGTGTCGAACTCAGTGGATCTTAATTGTACCTCAAAGTGTAGCGTGAATGTGAAAGAAATATATGTCTCTTATTGGTACATTTGATCTCGTCCTTCGTCAAATCCATTTCATAAGATCTTCAGCATTAGCCATCAATCTTCCAGCAAGATTGCAGGTAATTGTGTCTTTTAATTTCGTAGTGGTGATTGCCCAAAAAAAAAAAAAACTTCGTACTGGTGATATTATGATTCTTCTTGTCCCGCCATTTTTATTATCTAATTATTTAATGTTTTTATTCCATCGATTTTTCTGTTTGTTTAATCGTTTTCTTTATCTTCGTTGTCCTGGGGATCCATTTCATGTTCACAAGTTGTTCGGATATTGGGCGAAACGTTCTTACGATTGCTGTATCAAAGGCTCCGATCTGATTACAGTACTTCATCAATCCATGCAACCATTGTTGTAAACCCTCCTCTTATCCATCCAAAAACTAATAGGTTAAAACTACGTCGTCCGTGACTTATTCCTAAAGTTCTGTCTGTGTATGATCATAAGACACACACACACACAATAATAATATTTAAAAGCCATTTTGATGTGAAGATTCTATTTAATGTTGAGAAAAGTTTGCTGATACCAGTTTGTGGACGGCAAGGGTCATCATCACTGTGCACATGATCGTCGTGATAGGTCTTTTTCTGTCATGATGCACTTCTACGTGAATATATGCAGATGCGGAACGATTGGGGTGAAGGTACTTTCAACTGGACGGATTCCTTTTGACTGTTATCGTACGTTTATCTCCCCGGTGATTCCTTTATGCTTTAAACTGATTTCATGGCTCAGTCGGTGCATGGTATAGTAATCACGATTTTTCTAAATTATATTCTATTTAGACAGAAGGAACTAAATAGTAAAGATGCATAGTACTTGTCAATTCGATGGATGAACTTGCACTTATTGATGTTTGATAGCCATGAAGGTCTTTCAATTTTTGCAGGTTTACTAGCTGAGGATCATTGCGAAATTGGCTTTAGGCTTTAGCCTAAAGTTTTCCTGCTATCGCCAGACCAGGGAATGAGGAACGTAACTCATTATTGGGGTGAAAGTTCCAGTTCAACATCTCTTAGCAGTCAGAATGACACTGAGGATGATCGGATGATTGCTATTGTACTAGCAGAGGAGTATGCCAACTTGGACGGTGCAGTTGGTACGCGACTTTCCAACTTGGCACCTGTTCGTGTAAGATCATGCTTAGTTTTGGTTGTCGTGTTGATTTCTGATTTTGAAACTTCTTTTTGAATTTTGAATACTGATTCGAAAATCCTGTTTGTTCATATCTAGTAACTTAGACACACTGGAGGAGAAGGAATGGAATTTAAATGTTTAGCTGGCTCTGGTTTTCTTATTTTCTGCTATTATCTCTCTCTCATGTTTTTATCTCACTTTAAGCGCGGTTTTGAAGTTCTTATCCTCATCTTCTTGAAATTCTAGCATGTGCCCCGGATAAATTCCTTCATCCCCAACATAAGTGATGCCAGGATGGATCACCAGCGTCTTCTTCACAGGTGCTTCTTATTGCCGTTACACAAAATTTGCAATTTCTATGAGAATTATTATAAAGCTTTGAAGGCTCTACATGTACCCTTTTGGGGGAAAGCCAGCAATAACTGCAGGGGTTTAAGATACGCACTTGTATCATCTATCATCAATAATTTAGCTGTTTAGAATAAGTATTTAACATAATTTTTCTTGCTTGAGAACAGATACGGATAGAAACAATATGCAAATCAGTCATTCAATAAAATTTACGCGGTCAGAGACAAGTTGTCTTGCATACTCAAGTAGAGAGTGTTGAGTAGAGTGGGGATCCATAGTGGTATATTTTAGCAGCCATTTGTCTGTGCCTAGAAATATACGATGAAATAAATCTGTTGCTGGGGATCCTCTTGATAAGAGCAATATATGGGCACCTTTCAACCCTGAGGAATAGTTAGCGGTCTGATTCTGCTGGGCTTTATATAAGAAACGGTATAATTAAATTCATCGTTGACCTATTATCCTATAGGGTTTCATATTGAACGCAATAGTTGAGTTATTCCATGACCCGGTGTTTACAGATTCTGAAGTATGAAGGTTTGTAACTGTAGCTTTGAGCATTTTTGGAACCAATTGTTCTGGCTGTTGATTGTTGTTGTACAAATTGATTTGTCTTAGAAACCTAGAGTTGTAAAAAATAACGAAGATCGACTCAATTAATAAAATGATACAAACTCATTCCTGCTCTACCTGAAGGGAAAGTATTAAATCATTTTCTTCACTATTTCAGGCTAAAGATATATGGTCTTTGTGAAGTTAAAGTCTCTGGTGACGGAAATTGTCAGGTATTTTATTCTGAAATTATTTACAACCACGAACCTTTTGAAATTTTATAATAATTCTCCCTATATTTGCAGTTCCGAGCCATTTCGGATCAGATGTACAAGTCATCTGAACATCACAAGTATGTTCGAAAAGAGATTGTGAAGCAGGTAAAATGTCAGTGTCTGACAGTATTTTGAATTTTGGAGACATCTGGTTTTATTAGGTTGCAATTTGCTTAACTGGGTGGACAATGTTGATTTTCCTGATGTATGGTAATGTTTCTCCTTTTTTGCATGATGTTTTCTCTTTGCCAGCTCAAAGATCACCGTTCCTTGTATGAATGTTATGTCCCAATGAAGTACAAACAGTATTGCAAGAAAATGGCAGAGTGCGTATATTTCTGCTGAATCATCACAATTATTATTTGTTATAAATTCAATGAGCCATTACATGCGTTGGTTAGTTAATTGACGAGTGGAATGGAAATTTCCTTTCAAAAGCTAGCTAATGAGAGGAGGGCACTAACTCACAAATACTTCATAGAACATCACATACTACTCACTGTGGGACTTTAGGCATTCTCTATTGTTTCAGTCTCCGTCAGTAATATTTTGATGCATATGCTAGTGTAAACTTACTGCGTTCACTCTCTTACACAGATCTGGAGAATGGGGAGACCATGTTACCTTACAGGCAGCTGCTGACAAGGTTCTAATGTTTGTGTTAAATTAGTTTGTTTAACTTGGATGAGTTAATGCATCCTGCAAAGAATAAGATCATCTGTTTAGTATTGTTTATGTTAGTTAAAAGCTTCTCTTTTTATGTGTGCCGCGGCGCAAACCTCACATTTGGTGTATTACGGGAAAGATACTCATTTACAAGAAACTGAGTTTCAGCTTTATCTGTCAGTGAGTGAAGATATATGGTGATATATATGATCACAAAGTAACCACTTGACTAACAAGCAATCTTTCCATATCATAGGACTCATAAAGCTAAGTTGTATATGTAGGAGAGCTTGCTTGTGCTAGGATTTATATACAGTAGATGAGAGATGAAATATACTAATTGCAATAATGATGTTCTGGCAATGCATGTTTATCAGACCCTTTTCTGCCCAGAGAAGATGAAAGTCGCATCCCGACATTTCTTGGCGTCTTACATTAAACACAATGACTACTTTGAGCTTACATTTTATGTTATATGATGTCACTGATTGTGTTACTGTCAACTAGCATTTCAGTATTATAATGATGTATTCTCCTTAATGTAGTTTGCTGCAAAGATATGTCTTTTGACATCGTTCAGAGACACGTGTTTTGTTGAACTTACGCCGCTGAATAAAGTGCCAAAGTGTCGTAAGACCTTCGTTGCCATTATTATTTCAATCGTTAAATATGAAATCATTAATAATCTCAGCAATGTCTTATTCCTCTGATTACCTTCGTTTTCTCAAATGATGCAGAGTTATGGCTGAGCTTCTGGTCTGAAGTTCATTACAATTCACTATATGCATTTCAGGGTTAGTTCACCTTACTGGGAACCGACCCTCTTCCTATAAAAAACACAAATACTGCTGAGAACAATTCTATCGATCGATCAGTGATTTATTTAATTTTCTTTGTTGCAGCTGCGCCAGTCAGGGATAAACCAAGGAAGAAACACTGGTTGTTCTAGTAGAAGGAAGAAGAGGAGCTAGATAAGAAACATGAAGGACATAATTCAATATGAAGCCTAGTGCATGCGTTCCCCCTTCTTTTCCTTAGTTTAGATGCACACATTATTTAACTGTTATTTCTTTTTCATTTGATATGGGAAACAAACTTTCACCAAGTAACACAGATACACAGATACATAATTTGTATATCATGATCATCATCATCATCATCATCATCATCATCTCGATGCCACTACCACTTTAAGGGGTTAGTAATGAATAAGTTGCATGGAAGAAATCGAAGTGTGTCCCTCAAGCAAAAGCGGATAGCACAGCTAGAAGCCAAAGACTAATCCGTGGAATGGGACGTGCATGTGTCCTACATGTGAGCCTCACATGATGTTAGTGTTCTAGAATTTCTGTTGATCTTATCACAAGCTTGGTGCACGTTACTGGTACAAGGTTACAACGTTATTGAATTGGTTTCAACGCAATTTCAACTTGGCCCTTCCCTTGGGTCAAAGCCAGAAGGGAAACAAACAAGAAGCCTCCGCTCTTGCCTGAATATTCCGGGGGGAGCTGCTACTCGTTCTCTCTAATGATCGCCCTTCCCATCATTATCTATAAAGTTGTTGACCTTTTTCGCGTATGGATTACACCTTTTTATATCATCGTCGGATACTGAGTATACTGGGGTTAAGTGAAAAATCCCTATTTTATTTTAACAATTTAAAAGAGAGAAATGAGAGGTTGAGGACAGACACCTAAATATTATAATTTAAGTTTTATCAAGAAAAAAGTTGAGAGAAGTTCTTAAATAAGTTGAAACCGTAAGGCCTGCATTACACGTGTTAATGTGTCATATCTTGAAAGAAGAAAGAAATTAATGATTTGCCACGATTCCATGAACACCTAACAATGTTCTTGATTTGACCATATTGCGACACGCAAGTTGTTTGAAAGCGGTTAAGTTGTTTTGGATCTATCGATCACAAAAAGGAAATTCCGGTTCATGTATAACATGAATGAGATCTCCTGGCAAAAAAAAAAGAAGCATGAATGGGATCTTTCATCAAAATGATGGATGAGTTGGAACTTGGAAGTAGAAAAAGCCTTTGATTGTTAACTAATTTTGTTGATGTGGTTGGTAGTATTTTAATTAAGTGACAGTCAGCACTTGGCCGTATGAGATTGAGATTTGCTTGTTTGTTAGTAGAATGCAAATGAGTTGGCAAATATTGATGCATGTGCCCTTCCTTCAATGTAAGCGTTTAACTAGATATTCATATTATTTTCAAATCAATGGTTTCAGCGACCAAAATCAAAACCACTAATTAGATTTGATTTTTAAGCATTTAACTGGAGGAGAAAAAAAAAAGTCCTGAATTAACTGCTGAGAGGGAAAACGAATTCCGGTTCTGGGCAGCCCAGCGGGAAGTCTCAGTTACGTTGTCAAGCGGAACTCGCTGGTAATTTATTTCTCCCTCTTACACTGACTTCACAATTAAAAATGATCCGAAGCAGCAAAGGAATTACGATCCTCATGGGGCGATTTTCGTAACTCTTGGCCTTGGATCGGTGATTAGGCAGATAAATAACTATTCTGCTGCTTATCTTTATTATTATGTACAAAAACTATTATCCATATATAGGTTTGTCAACGGAATCTCTCTCTAATTTAATACCCTCAATTCATCAATCAATCTCGCAGAGCTTCTCATGTACAGATTTACCCCCGAGTGGTTAAATGGGAAGCTATTTCTCTATAGAATCATGGACACAAGTGACAAGACAAGAATTACATATTTCAATAGAAGAGAACAAAAAATGATTAATGAGTTTGGTGAGATATATGGCTGTGAAATGCATTCGGAGCCTCCATTATTGTCAGATACAGACACCTTCTGTATTTGCTCTCTGTATCCATCTGTTAACCCACTTGTTCTCCCATGCATCTGGGCCTCCTATCTAATCTTTTTTCCCCCTTAACTCGTCCAGATTCTGATTATACTTCGGTATCCACGTTTGACTTGTCCTACATAAATGACAACCTCAGAAATCTACTTACATAAACGTACACCAGAATATCCTCCGTCATACATCTTTTTTTTTTTGGAAAACTGTGTTGCTAATTACATAGAGAACAAGAGAAACTTATCTATGTGAGTGTAATTTTCCGAGTTATGAGAAGGAGATGAGGGTTTTTGGATTAATGGCAGGACAGGAATTGAAAATGACGGATGGGGTTGAACTCAAAATTCAAAGCAGTCACCTTGTTGCTTGTTATAATTTAATAACCATAAAAACGGTCGCTTCAGAACTCTGAAAGAGAAGGGAAACCACACGTGTTGGTGATTGAGAGCTTTCAAACTCTCGAGACTATGACTACAGACAACGCACGTTCTCTCTGAATCTGTATTGGATTAAGAAAAGAAGCTCAACCTCTCCCCATTGAATTTATGAACCCAAAATTAAAGTGCTATCCTACTTTCTCATATCATTTGATCCATCTCTCCGAATCAACCTATGATACTAGGCCACGTGTTATATATATAGTTATATATTCATCCACGCCTCAGTAGTAAACAGTGATTAACATTATTCCCCACCTGTCAAAGACAGTGAGGAAAGAAATGATCTTGCAATTTGTATTGTAATTCTCCAATTTTCTTGGATGTTGCCCCAAAGGGACTCGATCCATATTTTGTATTTAAAGCGTCAACTTAATTTCAAAGCAAAATCTCTACTTCCTCAAGTTCAGTCATTATTATATGAAGCAATCTCTTATATATATTATATAATATAACATGGTGGGAGGATTTGATTCCTGGTTTGCACCAGAAGACAGCACGGGGGGTTCCAACTGGGGATGGATAATCATGCACTAAACAACAGCTAATAACTGTGATTATGAAAGGATTAATAATTGGTGGCTAACTGTAATGCAGAATTAATTAATGCACGTAAACAAACTAATCTCATCTCAATCGGCAACAAAATCATGTGATCCTGTCTGTCTGTGTTCCTCCAACTTCCAGATTGAGAGGCCACATATTGCCCTCCACATGCAATCCTTTTTTATTTGTCAGGATTTCTCTTTGGGAGAAGTGCAATATTAAATCTGAATTTCTCAAAAGACGGATGGATTGTGAGAGTGATAAAAGGATCAAAACAGATAGAATATTCAAAATTTGAGTTACTTGATTGGTTCTTTCACAACATACAAAAGCAAACCCCCACGTTACCAAAAACCTGCACCACAAGCAGTTCGTCCATTAATACAAATTGATTCTATTTTTATAGAACAGCTTAACTCGCCGCGTATAACTTCGCTAAGATTGGTGATTTTACTGTGTTCATCCGAGTTACAAGTGAGTCTATACTGATCCCGAGTTTATATACTTTCCAAAAGTGAAAATACATACTTGATAAACTATTTGCAAGTCTGATGGTCTATTTGGAATTACGATTATATAAATCAAGATAAAATTTTTCTAATATATTTATCTCGTAACTTGTAAATTATGATTGAAAAATTATTTGTAAATAATAAAAAAAGGGTGGTTGGTGTTGCACGTTTAAATAGTTTCACTCTCTCAGTGAGAATATAAGAGAGCCTTCTTTTATATATGTACGTATACACACACAAATACATATATTTACATAATTAAACAAATAAAAAGGATGGGCCGTAAGAGGACTGGGTGTTTAGATTTCTCCAGACTCGTTACGCGTCGTCGCCCCTCTGCTTCAATCTCTCCGCAGAATATATTATCTGTCCATCTTCAACGGATGCCAGTTTTAAACAACAGTTCCTGTTTTTTTTTTCCAATACAATTTTTCTAACTAGTCGGTCAAGATCAAGATAGAAGTGGGAACCAGTTTCGGTGCTTAATACCATAAACTCATCAGATCTGAATTGTTTATATCTGATTTAAATGATCCAGATTTAACATTTTTAATTAATTATTTTTAAATAGAAAAAACTATTTTTGAAAAGAATGATAGTCAAGAGATTATCCCTATTTTATATTTTTAACATATTAAAATAATTATTTTGAATAAATAAAAATAAAACAGAAGTCAAATATGAATCATCCAAATAAGATATGAATTATTCAGATCTGATGAGTTTATAGTGCTTATTAAAGTGATAAGTACCGAAACTGGTTTTGTCCTTGGATGATTCACTCAAGTAAATCATTTACAAATACCTGATGAAACTACCAGAATAATGTTTACTTTTTGGGTGAAAAAAAATGTAATATCCAGTCTAAGAGAAAATATAAAGGATCTTTATATTTGAATAACTTTATTTTTATTTTTTAAAATGGTGCATGTCGCACGGTAAACGTGTAATTTTCAAAGTAAACAGGCAACAAGAGGGTTTTACTTACTTTATTTGTTAGATTTTGAGAAGGGGCCACACGATAGAATTGAGGAAGGGTACGAGAAGCTCCCATACAAATGGCCAAACGTGCATTGTTCAGCTTAACTCCCACATTTAAATCTCGTGGGCCCCAAATCCTTCTTCATTTGATTGCTCTCTATCTGTCTGTCTTTTATTTTTCCTGAAATTAAGATAAATAATACCACAAACAAAAGTTTGTTTTCGGACGCAAAGCTCCTTTTTTGGTCTCTTTGCTTCTTGTCCCTTCTCTTTAAATTTCCTCTAACTTTTAATATAAAACACTTGAAAACATTAATTCCCATAAAGCCCAGAACTCATGACCAAATACCAATACATGCCATCTATTATTGTTTTAACAAATTATTTTAATATTTGAAAGCCAGGGCTAATTTTGAGTAAATCAATAAAATCAGATAACAAGTGATTTGTTATTTTTTTTTAAAAATCGAAAGGAACAATTAGTGAGAATTACTAATAGGATAGCCCAATAAGAAATAAACAAAGAAAGGCCTCTCTGGTGGAGGATGTGGTGCCTCTATATATACCCGTTTGTAACCCCATCCTTGCAAATTCAAAAAAGACACAAGCCATGGCCTCTTCTCACTGGTGTTTCTGTCTGGTTCTCATATCCCTGGCCTCTGCCGCTTTCGCCGCCGTCCCGAAGAGGGCCATCGACGTTCCCTTCGGCCGAAACTACTACCCAACTTGGGCTTATGATCACATCAAATACATCAATGGAGGTTCTGAGGTTCATCTCAACCTCGACAAGTACACTGGTACTTCCCTCCTCTTCCTTTTTCCTCCTTCTTTCTCTTAGTTCTTTGAGCTCTTCGTTTTGTCTTTACCATTTCTACTGTCTTCGACGTCAGGTACTGGTTTCCAGTCCAAAGGATCTTACTTGTTTGGCCACTTCAGTATGCACATCAAGATGGTTCCTGGCGATTCTGCTGGCACCGTCACAGCTTTCTATGTAAGCATGCTGACAAACTTTCCATTTCTCCCCCTTTTTTTGTTCCTTTAAGATGTTTTGCTTATATGTGATTGGGAACTTTGGCAGCTATCTTCCAATAACAACGAGCACGACGAAATAGACTTTGAGTTCTTGGGGAACAGATCCGGACAACCTTACATTCTGCAGACAAATGTCTTCACCGGAGGCTCGGGTAACAGAGAACAGAGAATCTACCTCTGGTTTGATCCCACCAAAGAATATCACAGATACTCTGTTCTCTGGAACCTGTATCAGATTGTGTAAGTACTCCATTCTCACCCTTACATCCGCCTATTTGAGTAAGAATAACCCAAAGAAAAGTCATAATCGGAATGTGGGCAATGTGCAGATTCTTTGTGGACGATGTGCCAATCAGAGTGTTCAAGAACAGCAAGGACCTTGGCGTGAAATTCCCATTTCAACAGCCCATGAAAATATACAACAGTTTATGGAATGCAGATGACTGGGCCACGAGGGGTGGTTTGGAGAAGACAGACTGGTCCAAAGCTCCCTTCATAGCGACCTACAAGGGATTCCATATCGATGGGTGTGAGGCCTCCGTGAACGCCAAGTTCTGTGCCACTCAGGGCAAGAGATGGTGGGACCAGCCTCAGTTCCGTGACCTTGATGCTCTTCAATGGCGAAGACTCAGATGGGTTCGCCAGAAATTCACCATCTACAACTACTGCACCGACCGTAAGCGCTTCCCTGTAATGCCACCTGAATGCAAGAGGGACCGCGACGTTTAAAGCTTTAAACTTTTATTTTTATTAATGTCATAAGTTCATACGATTCCATCTGTGTTTTCTTCTTGTATTTGTCATTCCGTTTACTACTGTCAGGATTATACTACACTATTGGTTGAACTATTTAATTTTAACTATAAAGAAGATGGGGATTCGGGAGAAACAGGGGAGGCTCTCTTTCTAGGAGATTTCATGATGTAAGGCACTGTCTCCGTGATTGAATATAAAATTCATATACTTCATCTTTTGCCTGGGAAGCACCAGTTGTGACGCATAAATCTGTACAGAAATGGACTTATGGTCCCGGAAATCACAGAGGAAGACGACAAGGAGGTTCAAGATGGGGGGGATAAAAGTAGAAAGTGGGGTGGGGAAACGTGGCCCCACTGAAATCTCAGCATGTGACGCGTCTGGAAAGGACGCCAGAATACAACAATATTTAACTAAACTCGAGGACTGAATAACACGACACTATTGACTAATTGAAAATGAAAAATCCAAATGTGGGGTGGTGAGCATCATAATTCACTTGACCTGGCCTGAGAGGAGCATGTGAGGATGTGATGTTTTCAATCGAGGAAAACACAGCTCAGATGGAGACACTTACTTTTTTAAGTTTCCACAGAGAAAAGACGATGCTAAAGTTGGATTGATTATTGCGGAGAGAAGGTGAAGCTTACAGAACCACGAATCTCGTCAATGGGTTTGAAAATGATAACGTATGCTTTCAAGCCGCGATGATCGGTTTCGGATCTTTAAACTCAAGACACAAAAATAAAATCATCGTGGGAACTTAGGCCCCTTTTGGAACTAGTTTTCCAATCATAATTTAGTGATTTACAGAAATAAACATGAGAGTACTGTGAATCCAAACATGCCTTTGGTCTGTCTGAAGCGGAACACGTAACATGAATATTGAAGAAAAACCAAATCATGATTTAAAAAATGATTTTACAACATGAATATTGAATAAAAACCAAATCATGATTTAAAAAAATAATTTTACAATATATAAACATATACATATCATAGAATTTATTTCAATTCCTAACACCCTCTTATCTTTTACCCCAAAAAGAGCCAAAAGAATAAGGGAGAGGGAAAGAGTGACATTGGGATTGGACGATGAAGCCCGACTTCTTACCCCTGACCTCCACTCTCGCAAAAGACCCATGTGATTTTGCGTCGCTTCATGTCCAATATAGAAATTACACGCAGGAAAAAAAATAATATTATAGAAAAATATGAGTTGGTGGGGTGTAAATAAAAGGGGACCATAATGGAAGAGGCCATAACTCAGTTTGTGAGTCATTGGGAGAAACCCAGCATGGGCACTAGCCGTTGTGCAAGAGGATGTGCCTTTACTTGTTTGGAGTTATCCATTCGCTGGCCTTCAATTCACTGACATAAATTTGGTTAAGCCCTTTAATTCTCTTATTTCATCCTTCTCTGCCCAATTCATACTTTTAATTTATTATCATCTGTTCACTCTACCCAACTATATTTCTGTTCACTCTCCTATCCGTTCCTCAGTTTTGAGTTTAAATTTTAAAATAAATATTTTTATATTTCATGAGATGAAATTCCTTTCATACATAATGTTAAGCTGTTAGCTACACCGATTTATTCCATCACGTGATCCTCTTCAAGTTTTCTAAGTTATACTCCTCTTGTTCTTAATATAAGACCTATTTAATCAATTTGATTAGATTAAGGAAGTTAGGTAAGTTAGTTAGTTATAAAAAATATGACACATTTTCCCTAAAACACCATAATCATCTTTTTTAATATTCTATCTCCTTCTTCTACTTGATTATGGTTGATAGAGTATCCATAGGGGTAATTTAGAGAAAATTAATAAATATTAGAAATGAGTCTTATATTTAAGACCAAAACCAACTTAATAATTAGGTCCTATATTAAGGACCGGAAAAGTACTACTTTACTTTTCGTCCTTAATATAAAGGCCAGTAGTAATTGACTAATTTAAGTAGATTTAGAAAGTTTGTTGTGTTAGTTATTTATAATAATTAGGTGTTTTCTTTCCTAAAATGCCCTTGCTAATCATGTATATTAGCTAAAATTATCATTTTTTGAACATTTTAACATGTGCAACCATTATAAGAATTACATTAAAAAAATAGATAAATATTAGAAATAAAGTAAAATAGGGTTTTATATTTAGGATCAAATTAAAAGTCAAACTAGCTCTTATATTAAGGACTACAATTCCACGGATATCAAAATAAGAAGCATTATTCACAACTGGTGAATACTTTGATTCCTTATTTTTTTAAATGTTTTATATTTATTTTTAAAAAAAAACGAAGCCCCCTTCCCAGAGCTTTAGCATTATTATATCCGTTTTTTCATTGCAATAATTATATTACTACCACTGCGGTTGATGGTTATCATATAATTTGTGCTTCAGTCATGTTGAAAAAAACGAAAAGCAATTTTAAAAAAAAACAATTTAACTTCTATCACGCAGGTAATCTTTATGTGATATCATTTTTTTTTTTAAAGAAAATAAAAACTAAGCATATGCACCAGACTGGGCCTTCAAGATCACAAGACAAAACATTCCCAGCCAGGTGTTTGAGCCCATTTATTAAGTAAGTGGCCCATCGGCCTTGTTGGCTTACTAGGCCCAAGCTATAGCCGATACCATTCCCGCATTTTATAACGGTATGTTCCGTAATTTTGAAGAACTTGTTTCGAGAGCGTGATAGAATAATCGCAACTTTGAGTGGGAAAAACATAGGAAGCTTGGGGATTTATAGCCAGTGCCCCAGACGGGAAAGACCTTGAGGCGGAGCAGAGGGGAGGAGGGACCCACAACACTTTATGCTGGGCCCTCTCTTTTGGATCAGGCATCTCAGTTCTCACAACATTTGGAAAATAGAAATCCTTATAATAAATGGGAAATATTAAAACCGTAAAAACATATCATGATACATTCATCGTCGTCATTGATATCACCGAATTAGTTGATATCACCTTTGTTAATTAAAAAAAAAAAACCGAAAACCCATAGCATCCATGCATTCCACGATTGAGAGCGTGATCCCTGGCCGGTGTCGTGGTTCTATAGGCCCAATTCATAAGCCCATCAGTCAGAGTTCCAAATACCAATTCTTGTTTCAAAACACACGGAGAGAGATGGCTTGAGATTTGGTCTGAAAGCATAATGCCAGAGGATGTTTACCTGAGGACTAGCGGAATCGCGGGTGTAACCGTTTAAACTTCAAAGAGGTCTCTTTGACTAGGGCTGTTTACGGGACGAATCCCGTCCCGGTTTCATCTTGATAAACAGTAACGGGACAGATTTTCTGTCCCGTGTCCCGGCCCGTTCCGGGGTTGTCCCGGTCCCGGTCGGGACGGGACGGGAGGGATAGGACCAGAACGTTCCGAAAATATATATTTTTTAATTTTTTTAAAAAAATCTGATTTTTTTAATTATATTTTTTTGAGTTAAATCTTATAAAAACATCTTTTATTTTCTTTTTTATTTGTTTGGGCACTTTTAAACAAAAGCTCAAAATATTACATATAATAGTCATTAAAACTCTAAACAAAAGCTTTTAACACAATAAAAACTTGCTAAAAATTCTAATCATCAATAATCTCAAATCATTAACAAATATAAAAACTCTAAATAAATATATCTATAGTTCCATACAATAGTCTCAAATCTTAAAAAAATATGAAAAAAATGATATTATATAAATAGGATAAAAAATTAAAAAAAATTAAAAAAAAAAGGAACCGGTTCGTCCCGTCCCATCCCGTCCCAGTTTTCCCGTCCCGTCCCAATAAGACCGGGACCGGAACGGGCCGACGGGGACGGACCGGCCTTAAACACCCCTATCTTTGACACCAATCATGATTTTAAGGGACCACTGTAAACAGTTTAAAAAATATAAATAATAAAATTACTACCTTTACTCTTATTTTTAATATAAGAGTTAGTTTCATATTTAATTTAGTTTTAAATATAACACATTGTTCGACTTTGTTTATTATATCTATTTATTTTTTCAAAATAATCTTTATAATAGTTACATATATTAAATGTTTTATCAAATAATAGTCATAACTAATACACGGGTTAGCAAAAGTGTTTTAGAAAAGATAACATCTATTTATTACTAGTAGCTAGTTTAATTAATTTTTTAATATATTTAAATTAAATTAGTTAACTAATTTTTTTACTAAGTATGGCAGTAGTTGGTTAGCTGAACTTGAACGAACGTGGAGATGTTGTTGAGCATTGATGGGCAGATAAAAGAAGGGGTAGGTGCGTATGACAGACAAGGATTAAAGAGACAGTCAAGTTGAAGGTGGCGCAGTGTGGAAAGAAATTGGGACTCTGATAAGCTTTAACTGATAATGACACCGAAGAGGCCATAAAATGGGGGAAATGACAATTAAGAACTCCAGATTTATAGTTTTATAAAATTATATATTTCTTCAATCAGCTAATTAATTTTTATTATAAATGCAAGGTGTTCATCCGTTTTATCTCATATTTTTACTTTTCAAAATTAATTTATCTAATTTATAAATTAGTATAATATTTAAAAAAACATGTCATATTAATATAATTTTCAATAGTTTTTGGGATCCAAAGGAAATAGGGGCATTTTGAAAATGTTACCTTGCAATTGACATTAGTCAATTGATCTTTTAATTTTTTTAATGACTTAATTCATGAGATTTAAAACTTAAATTCATGATGCTGACAAAAGAAAAAGATAAAACTTGAATTCATGAACCTATAAGGCTTCCATAATTTCCATTTTTATACTACCCCTGATCTTCAATATAAGAGCTAACTAATTAATTTGAGCATATTAAAAAAGTTGTTAAATTAATTATTTATAATAAATATGTATTGTTTTTTTTAAATATCCTTACTAATCAATCGTATTAGTTAGAACTATTATTTCATGAAATTTTTAGTATGTATAGCTACTATAAAGACTATTTTAAAAAAATATAAATATAAAAGATAAAATAAATTAAAATATTATATTTAAGATCAAATTAAAAATCAAACTAATTCTTAATGATAATAAAACTTTAAAAGATTCGGGGTGAAACTTGGGCTGGTGAGAGAGAGAGAATTTTCACATTTTCACAAAAATCCTATCAGTATTTCATTATTTCAATGTCACTTTCCATGATTTACTGTAGGATTTGGCGGCTTATTCCGTGAATGCCCCTCGTCACCAAAAAAATTAAAAAATGCAACGGCCGAAAGTTCAGAAATTTCCTCTCGCAACCAAAAAGTGATGACCATCGAAAGGGGCCCAAAAAGTGCCTACAAATCTATACGAAAAGACAAAGCGTGATTTTTCTTCTCCACATATTCCTTATCCTCTGTTCCCCTCATGCATACATTCAGCCTTTTGCCGCGGAAGGCACGCCAATTTCTATCTCAAACACCAAAATTTGAAAAACGTGATAATTCTTTGATTCGAAATATTTCATTATTGTATTATCAAAATCGTTCAATTATCACAGTAACAGATAGTAAATATACAAAATATTCATTACAGTAAGTGCCGATCATTCTTTTCTTTAAATTATGTATAAATTCCTAAATACCTAATTACAGTACTCCTCCTGTTTTTAATATAAGATTTATTTAACTAATTTGATTAAATTAAGAAAGTTAGGTAAGTTAGTTAATTATAAAAAATATGACATGTTTTTCCTAAAATACTATAATCATCTTTCTTAATATTTACCTTCTTTTATTTACTTAATTATGATTGAGGGAACATTCACAGGAGTAATTTAGAAAATATTTATAAATATAAGAAATATATCTTATATTTAGAATCAAAATTAACTTAATAATTAAGACATATATTAAAGATAACAGGAGTAGTTTATAAATATATAGAAGTTTACTCTGACCAACGAGTACGAACAAGATGTTCCATGTCCATACTATTCCTCTAAGAACCCTTTTTTTTTTTTTTCCCGGTTTGGCTTAGTCCCACCAATTGCGGTATAATAATTCCATATATGAAAATAAACAATCCCATAAAAACTGATGCAATGCAAATCGATTAAGCCCCATTTGGAATGATTTGTAAACAGCATTTTAATCATAATTTATAAAATACAAGCTAAATATATAAGATAAATTTTATCTTGATTTATATGAAACACTTTTATAAATGATTTTAATTATGATTCTAAATGGGGTTTAAGTGATAAGAATTTTGACACCTCATGAAAATTATTATAATTTGAAGGGTCTCGCATATCTACAAATTTCAAGGCTTTATAATGAATGATTCACATATCATGTTTTATGATTCATAATTTATGAGTATTAAAACTAGTTGTATGATTTTAAAGCAGAAAAGTTATATTCTTTTGGGTCAAAAGACAAATATATGTATATATTCTTAACCAGTTGTGTGAATAATTATGAGTAATATAAATGTATTAATAATTTTCTCTCTCCGTGTTTTTTTTGTTTTGTTCTTTTGTCTTTGGTTTGTATACGCTGTCACGCGCACAGTTTTTGAAACACCCCGCAGCCGGGAACTCCTTTTTTTTTTTTTAACGAAAAAGGAAATAAAATGTCAACCGCCAAATCCAATCAACACCGTATCTCCAGCACATCATCATCATCGAATCTATAACCTGTGAAAATGCAGCCGAAAATGCTCTGCGTATTGGAACCCAACTCAAGCCCAGGCAATATAGGATCCAGGGGCGCCAGACCGACGCCACACAGTTCATACTTTGTTTTTTGGTCCAGGCACACAGTTCATACGATCATAGTATTTAATCGTTCCTCAATCGTCAATTTCCTCGTCCCTGAATTTTTTGATGGGGGCAGTCCCGGGGCTCGTGTTTCCCAGTAAGTTGGGTAAGTCTCTGTTACCCCTTTCCCGTTTTTACCGGGGAAAACTTCACCGACAGCATCGGAGATGACTTATACGTCCGGTGATGAAAGCAATGAGTTATATATACCCCTATATATTTAGTCAACTTCGTGTGTTCATCGTTGCCTCATTTTTAATCCCATGAAAATAAAACCTACATCTTCTAGGTAGAAATTCAATATTTTATTGTCTTCGTCGTCGTCGTCGTCGTCATCTTCCTCTTTTCTTTGAACTTTTCCATGATAGTCTTTGCTGTGCCTTTGAAGATATCATTAAACAAAACCCATATCTTATACAAATTCAAATCGCGCGAGCTATCCTCCAGCAACGCGCCACCCAAGGTTAGTCTCCGACTTTGCATGGAATTGGTATAACCATGCCAATTAATGGTCATCATCACCTTTGGTTGATAAAGAATATTAAAATAGGTCTTTAAGATTGGGAACGATGCAATATCCTCTACCTTCTCTGTTTCTGGACATGCTGGGCACAGTCCTCTCCAACTCATAGCGTCATAAAAAACAGGGTCCTAGTATTGAAAGTTATCGTTTTTAGATGTTTGACGAAATGAAACTAAGTAATTATTGGACAGAGAAATTTCTGCAGTGGTCTACCTCTCCCACTTTAATGTTTATGTCCTTAAAAAATTGGAAAATCCCGATCATTATCGTTATTCTACGAAGAAATTAATTAAATAAAAAAAATAATTTCATCATTTATGAAGCCGTTGGCGATTGTGCCAGGATGATTCTCACGTCTTATAACCCTGTTCGGGCTATTCCGGCTGGTGCCAGCGAATCTCGTTCTGAAGCTTCATCGCTTTCTCTTTCTTCTGTCTCTCCCTTGTGGAGGGGTAACATCAGTAGCGGAAGGAGGAGGAATCTACGAGTAGCGAGGCGAAACATGGCTTCGAATTTGACCACTAACAATTTCCTACGCCACGTAGAATCCATGACGGAGCTGCCATCAGGTGCTGGTCACATTTCGAAACTGAACGCTGTGGTTCTCGGTGAAGCTCTCGCTACTGAAGAGAACGAATTGGTGTTTCCCAGCAAGGAGTTCTCTAGCCAAGCACTCGTTCAGTCCCCAGAACAGGTTCTAGCGTCTTTCCATTGATCTCTGTTCAGATTCAAAATTAAGCCTTGTATACTTTCTGATTTTCTATCACAAAAAGATGTTCTTTTCATTGACACTGATTTCTAAGCAGTCGAGGTTTCTTATTTGCATTTATGATCTGTCAGTATCTGGAGATGTACAAGAGGTCCATAGAGGACCCGGCAGGATTCTGGTCCGACATTGCATCCGAGTTCTATTGGAAACAAAAATGGGGTGATAAAGTACGCGACGAAAATTTTGATGTTAGGAAGGGCAATATCAAGATTGAGGTATTGTTATTTATGATCATTTCCCATTTGGATCTCGCTTTATAGCGTTCGGCTGAGGCGTGAGTGTCTCTGCGTACGTTTGTTGCTCCTTCCAGTGGTTCAAGGGTGGCATCACCAACATCTGTTACAATTGCTTGGATAGAAATGTAGAGGCTGGACTTGGCAATAAGATAGCCATTTACTGGGAAGGCAACGAGCCTGGTTCAGATGGTACTTTGACTTACGCACAGCTCCTGGATCAAGTTTGCCAGGTCAGTTATGAGGTTCCTCTTTCCGTGTCTGTGTCACAGGACTCTAAATAAGATGCTTCTACTTGGAAAAATCTCCACTTAGATGCTTGAATGTTATTTCTGTTGGAGCACATCAGCAGAAGTTGGCTGGATGATCGAAGCTATTTCGACCTGCAGGTTGCAAACTACCTAAAGGATATTGGTGTCAGAAAGGGAGATGCTGTAATAATTTACTTGCCCATGCTGATGGAGCTCCCCATCACAATGCTTGCATGTGCCCGCATTGGTGCTGTTCATTCGGTATTACGCTGAGTCCATCCTCTTCCTCCACTTTTTTACTTATCCGTCTGTGGATTATTTTCAGATGGCTTTTGGGTTAACAGTTGTTAGCTTTTTGATTTGTTTAGGTTGTATTTGCTGGGTTTTCTGCAGAATCTCTGGTACAAAGAATCATTGATTGTAAACCGAAAGTTGTGATTACTTGCAATGCTGTTAAAAGGGGCTCCAAGATAATCCAACTGAAAGACATAGTTGATGCTGCTATTAATGAGTCAGCCAAAAATGGGGTCTCTGTAGGTTGGTAAATCAATGATTTGTTTATCAATTCATTGTTGTACTCTATTCCTCAGTTATCGAGTACTTCTGGCATCATACTTCTCATGGCACTCATGGCATATCCTCAAACATTATTTTATAAAAAGGGTTAAACATTAAGTATGTTTGATTGATAGCTAGTGAGGCTGCCAATAATTATCTCTGTTTTCCCCACTTTCATGTTCTCATCTTTTGTATTTATTCCTTTCTTCCAGATGTATGCTTAACTTATGAGAACCAATCGGCAATGAAAAGGGAAGATACAAAATGGCAGGAAGGACGAGATATATGGTGGCAGGTTATAATTTAAATTCTCTTTGCATTTATGCGCTCTTATGTTTTACTAAGTGTAGTGGTAGCATGAGATTATTCTATAATTTGGCAACAATTCCTTTATGATGTGCCCATGGAAAAGAAAATTCACGATTTTGCTGATTTCAATTTGTTTAATTATTGGAATTTGTTTGTTTATTCTTGTAAGGTTTAACACGGAACTTTCTGTGACCAATAAATTTTATATTTTCATGGTAAATGTTCATTAATGTTTGCTGATTTGTGACTGATTTTCAGGATGTCATGCCTCGATATCCAACCACTTGTCCGGTGGAATGGGTTGATGCAGAGGATCCACTTTTTCTGCTATATACAAGTGGGAGTACCGGAAAACCAAAGGTATTTGTTTGCAGTACTTTCATTTACATGTGATTGCCGTATTCTAACATATGTTCTCCAAAGGGTGTCCTCCATACAACAGGTGGCTACATGGTGTACACCGCTACCACATTCAAGTATGCGTTTGACTACAAACCATCTGATGTCTACTGGTATCCTTGAAAGCTAGCCCTTGATGTCTTTTCTTTTGAGGGTGTTCCTGATCAAGAACCAGATTGGTGCCTTTAATTCAACACCTTTATACTTTGACTGTAGGTGTACTGCTGACTGTGGTTGGATTACTGGGCACAGCTATGTTACTTACGGACCAATGCTCAACGGTGCAACAGTAGTTTTGTACGAAGGGGTAATAGATTTTTAACTTTTTTTCGGCCGGGGTGATGGATTTAAGTTTAAACATAGTATAATTATTTATGTGCATATGGTGTGGCTAAAAGTGCATCCTAGAGACATGTTACGGCAGAAGAAAAATTAATCACAAATTTCAATTTTTTGAATCTAGACTTCTACCAGCTACAGAGTGATGAAGTTAAAAGGCTTTGAGAAATATTGAATAAACTTTTGAAGCTCGCAGAAAAGATATAGAATATTCAATGACTAACAACATTGCATTTTCCTAGTAAAATTGAACTGTTACTAAGCTTTAGCGTATTTATAACCATTGAGCTATTTGTTTGGATCCGCACATCATGTCTTTTTATTCTCCTAAACTGTCTTGGAATCACAAAAATTACTGTGCTTTCCACCATCAAGTGTTATTTTAATTTGGCGTTTTCACTCAAAAATTGCGAACAAGCTTTTGGCAAAGAGGTGCTTCGTTAGTAATCTATTGGAAACATAATTGTCTTATCTTCAGGCTCCCAATTATCCTGATGCTGGGCGCAGTTGGGACATTGTTGACAAATACAAGGTGACCTTATTCTACACTGCTCCCACATTGGTGCGGTCGCTCATGCGTGATGGTGATGAGGCAAGAAATCTTTCTGTACTTAAATGTGCACAGTGCATTGGTTTATGAGTTGATTTGTTGCTAATTGTTTCTGGAGATTGATAGTTTCTTCTTTATATAAATAACTGGCTTAGATGTATTGTATATGTACTTATCAGTGCTAACAGGCTCGTTTTGTAGTTTTTGTCCACTTACTCTTGATCTATCTAGTATCTTCCATTCATAATCATTACTACTCTCTTCAAGCCTTCTTGTCACAGTAGTAATAAACTGTTGTTGGATTTTAGCGGCATAAGCCATGAGGCCTTAAATCAGTGTTGTTTACCTTTTGAATAACTGGTTTTTAAGAAATTATATATCATTGATTATCTATATTATCCATTACTTTGTGCGTCAGATACTCGGAATGATGTGTCAAAGTACATGGCTAGGTTGAAGCACGTCTTTTGTATGAAATAATCATTGCCGCACGGAAAAGATTTGGATGAATTTTTCAAGAATTACTCCTATCCTTCGGGAAGAAAAGTTCGAGAATAAGTGAAAAAAGGATATTGGGAATAGGCAGTGTTGGTGATATTTCAGACATGGCTAATGTTTTTATCTCCCTCTCTGGCCTTTCATTCATCTTATTTATGTTTATGTTGATCCAAATTCCATAAACTATCGAAGTATGTGAATTCATGCCAATAATACTTCTTTCATAAGATTTCTAGAAGGAACTATGGAAAGTAAATTATTGCAAGTAGATCTATATTACGTCAAAATGGACAGAAGGAATCTAATGTTGAAATATAAAACTGGTATTCTGCTTCTAAGATAGAAGAAATCAAGTACTCTTGGTCAATGCTAACATTGCAGATCATATATCCTAGTTTTCTGTAGCCTAAAGAATTTGGTAAATTGATACCTTTTCTGCCCCTTATAGGAATAGGATCCGTCATTTATATCTTGAGCTGATACTTTTGATAAAGTTCTGTATGACCGAATAATAGAAGGGAAAATTTTTTGGAGATCGTCACACGTCTAGAGTTCTAGATTGATACTTATTATTCATTTTTCTGAAGCGTTGCAAATCTTGCAGTATGTCACCCGGTACTCGAGGAAATCATTACGAGTTCTGGGAAGTGTTGGCGAGCCCATAAATCCAAGTGCGTGGAGGTTAGTATATATCCCCCCCCCCCCCCGGGTAACCAATTGCAGCTTGATTATTACTTCGTATCTAAATCATTTTTCTTTCTCTTCTAGGTGGTTTTACAATGTAGTCGGAGATTCAAGATGTCCTATCTCTGACACTTGGTGGCAGACGGAAACTGGTGGCTTCATGGTACTTTTAAAAATGGATAGAAATTATTATTATATACTTAAAATTTGAGTTTCCAAGACTAATATATTTTATTGTTATTCGCAGATAACTCCACTACCTGGTGCTTGGCCCCAAAAGCCTGGCTCGGCTACATTCCCTTTCTTTGGAGTTCAGGTCTTTTATGCATTCCTTACATATTAGTATTATAGTTTAATGAATTTGTTTCACCTACTCACTAGAATATTGCAATGCCTTTATCATTGATTACTTTTGTTTTAACTATAGCCTGTCATAGTGGATGAGAAAGGTGTTGAAATACAAGGTGAATGTAGCGGTTATCTGTGTATTAAAAACTCATGGCCTGGTGCATTCCGAACTCTTTATGGCGATCATGAAAGATATGAAACAACGTATTTCAAGCCGTTTCCCGGATATTATTTTTCTGGTGATGGCTGCAGCAGGTCGGTGATTTACAAAACAATAGATGCTAAATTGTCAGTCTGCTTCGTGATGTGCAAAGCTTCTAGCATCTTCTGTTGTCTTCGATTTAATTTATTTTGTATACGTTTTATTTTTCTAGTTTTACCAGCAAAAACGAGATATTTATTTTCAACCTATGCAATTCTATTTTGTAGGGATAAAGATGGATACCACTGGCTCACTGGAAGAGTGGATGATGTCATCAATGTCAGGTATTTGTTGTGTTGCATAAGCAAATTTTCGCTCAATCTTGCTTAGTTCTATATGTAAAGGAATTCAACATTAATAGAAAAAGTTGATGGGAATAAGAATTTAGAAATTGATGAAGTATTCATTGATATCTCGTCTAATGTAGTATTTAAATGATATGTGCAGTGGGCATCGTATTGGCACAGCTGAAGTGGAATCGGCTCTAGTTTCACATCCTCAATGTGCAGAAGCTGCTGTGGTTGGTGTTGAGCATGAGGTATGTTTCTATAAACCACTCTTCCTGTAGTTTCTGTTCGTGTACTACTCATATACACAGGGAAAAGTTTTAGTCTTTACACTATAGCTAAGGGATTCACGTCTGTGTCTGAATCGACTATCTAAATTTCTGCAGGTTAAAGGGCAGGGTATCTATGCATTTGTCACTCTTGTAGACGGTGTTCCCTACAGTGAAGAGCTGCGGAAGAGCCTCATACTCACAGTTCGAAAGCAGGTCTTTACTTATTCCATTAATTTTCCTCTTATTGATAAAACACTGGTAAAACTCACATGTTTTGATACTATCAATTAGTAGCTTAGTTAGTTAAGGCTTACATGGTAATTTTTCTTAGATCATGTCTGGATCTATGACATTATTAGGGAAAAAGAAATAAAATGGAGAATTTTTCAGGTACAGTGTTTAAGTGTTAATCTGGTATCATTTTGTGTTCGCATTCTCTTTTTTCTAGTGATGTGATTCCATACAGTGGCCTCAACATCTCCAGACCTTTTCATTAGTTGTGCAAGTGACTTGTGAGAACCTGATTATTTGGTGGAGAATAACTGTAATAGCTGTCGTGGAATTAATTATGTAAATCTACTCATATAAGTGATTTCAGTTGGCGCTTGAATTGAAAAATTCTATACTTGCAATTTCATTACTTTAAATATTGTCAGGTAGATTAACGGTGTTGCAATTTGTCAGAGCATGTTCCTATGTGACTTCTATCCATGACTTCACTTCAAATTCTGTTGTTTGACTTTTCAGATAGGAGCTTTTGCTGCCCCTGACAAAATCCATTGGGCTCCTGGCCTCCCAAAAACAAGGAGCGGAAAGATCATGCGAAGAATCCTGAGAAAAATTGCTTCCAGGCAATTGGATGAGCTTGGAGACACAAGTACCCTTTCAGATCCAAACGTGGTCAATCAACTTATACAACTTGCTGATTGCTGAATCTCCCAAGTCTCTGATATCTGGAGGTATAATACCGGCATAACTGACCTATTAGAGGCTTTGCCAATGTCGTCATAAAGAGCAGCAAGAGGACGAGTTTTTGATTGTTATGAAATTGTTGTGCCTTTTATTTCGTGGCCGCTTGGGACCTCAGAATCTTGGAGAATAAGATATTTCTAGTAGTTTTGTCCTCATTTTCATACCGGTCGTTTGATGTTGCGTGTGGCCAATGAAATAATAGAACACGGGGCTTTTGTAAAATTATTATGGGACTTACAAAATTTTAGATACCTATTGGTGGGTTTGTATGGCTAGCTTAATGACCGCTGAATATCTGACTCAAAACCTACTTTCTGTGTTCGCATAAAAATATCTGAAAACACTAGGATTAGCCTTCAGTGCAATGACTGAACCATTGTCACTAAGAATCGTTTATCTGCCGTGCAACACTGATCACTTAATTCCCTTGGATGATGCTTGGGTTGGAGAATCTTAATTTGCCATGTGAAAATCACGACAGAGGAAGTGAGTAACTTCATTCAAAACATCTACTATGCAGTAGGGACCCGTTTCCTGGCGTCCTAGACAACAGAAAATTCAACCGCTCCGATCTTCAAGAAATGCTTCGAAGGGCTACTAGGAATAGTTACCTAACTTATTACATACAAGTACCATGCGACTCCAAGATTTTAGGGCTGGCCTGGCATGATGTACCAATGGTCAAGTAGCAAGGATGAGGTGGGACAGTGAATGAAACTCGGGGTTCAAATTCTATTAACTAATTATATGTATAAACTTATTAATAACTTGTACTAATATCACGATCCTTAGTTTCCAAATGAAATTTGACACAATCAGGGCAAGTATCCATACCCGACAACGCTTAAATCCAACTCAATCTAGGAGACTGGAGCAAACATTCTATGCTTTTAGTAGGCTGGCTGAGTTGCCATATTCTTAAATGACCAACAAGAAGTATATGTAGGAAGCAAAGGGCAGAAGAATTAAATAATACATATGTGATGGATGAAGCACCAAAAGAGAATGTCTTATACCCAAAAAATCCAAATGATTAGAAACTATGAAACATAAAAGCGATCATGCTTCCTTCAATTATCCAAAATTACTGAGGAACTGCAGGATGAACTTAATCGGAATCCTCGTACACCTCTCCATCATCAGAAAACTCGTCGAATGATCTGATGTCAAGCTGGTAGCGAAGGATGCCACCAATGCCACCAAACCCTCTGCAAAATTGTGATCCCTCTTGAGATTTGTTGGTTACAAATTCCAGCGAGCAACCAAACCGCTTGTACTCATTTGCAAACCACTCCAGCAAAGGCATCTTTTCCTGAACCTCCAACTCTGCAGAGGTGGCTGAATCTCGGAAGTTGTTTTGATTAGCCTCTTGCTCCTTGTTCAAATGCTTAATCACAATCTCACCAGTTGAACTATTTTTCAACACATACCTATTTATATCCAAACTTTCCCACACGATGAGTGTTTCCACAGCACCCATCTCCAGAGCCTTCAATGTATCATCAACTCCGAAGACATATTTCCCAGTATCCTGGCTGATCTCCTCAAAATATTTCCCTATCAAGCGCTTCTCTTGTATAAACTTCACATTTGACAAGATTTCTGCAGATAGTTCAATGGCTTGATTGAAACCATTCTCCCCGCCATAAGAAACATCAACTACATTTAATATTTTGGCCTGTAAACGGGGATCAAACATATCTGACTGGCTCAGCTCAGTCTTGAAGTCAGCTGAACCTGCAAGTATAAGTCCAGCAACATTAGGCTGACTGGTAGAAGGATTGATGAAAAACTGAGTAGCAAGTTCTGCAGTCTTTCTAACGTAGTTGTGCCGTTTTTCCATGCGAAGACGAGCAAAACGTAAAGCTGACTGCCCTCCTCTACCATGTTTCTTTGGTAGATCAACAGTAAATTTATGAAGCACCTCACGAGTATTTCCACTTAACGTACCAAAAAGGGTTCCATTTCCATCCATAACAATAAAACCAAACTTGTCATCAGACTCTAAAAGTTCATTAAGAGCTTCGGTGTGAAACTTGTTATCACACAGGTAAAGTGAAGCATTGATGGGCCTGAAAGGCTCAAAATCAATTGTCACCTTCTTTTCCTTGCCATCTTCAGTAACAATGGTTCCAGTATAAAGAACCAAACCATTTGGAGGAACCTTATTGTAGAGCTTCAGCCTCTGTTGAGCAGAAGTAATGGCCCCCAAAACTGACTGCCTGTTCACCCTACTCTTGATGTTTGAAGCAGTTCCAAATTCATCTCCTAACATTTTCGTGACCCGGGAAATCTGATCACGTGGAGGCATAATAAGAGAAATCATGCTGGTACCATTACCTCTCGCAGATTCCAATGCCTTGATTAATTTCTTAATTTTCCAAATCTCAATATTCTTGTCTGATTCATGACCATCTGCCATTGTTGGTTACAACAGAAGACTAGCCTACAAATAACCGCAGATATGTACATTAGCAAATCTAAAGGAAAACAAAGACTGTAAACCACCACATAGAAACAATATATAAATCCAACCATTATGCACTTCATATAATCAAGCAAACACCAACACAACGAAGACGAAGTTATTTGCTATAAATCTGTTTTAAGTCAAAGGATGGGAGAATTGAAATCTGTAAATCCGCACCTTTGCATGTATTTATCTTTTCCCAATGATTATGGACCCAAGAAGAAACCCTAAACAACAGTCATCCTGAAGGTTGTGTTGCAGCCCCAAATCATGCTTCATTAAGTAGATTACATTAACCACCCCAAAAATGTGGCTAAAATACACTCGATACTTCTCAGGTTTTGAAAATTACATTTATCTCCCCTATAATTTACTTTCTCACAATGAAGTTAGCTTTCTGCACAATACGTGTTTCTTCCAAAAATAGGTTTCAGCAACATATACCAAAATGTACTTCTGAAACATCCCCGCCCCCCCAAAAAAAAAAAAACACATACCAAAATGTCAAAAGATTTAGACGTACTTTTCTAAATAAGAGGGCTATCAAGTGTGATTTAACCAACCCCAAAAAATGCCATAGCTAGCTCTGCTCCATAGTATTTGCATGTCGTATGCTAGCATGCACGAATATCCCAATGATTGCACAGGACTATGCGAAATGTACTATAGTAGTATAAAATGTTACAGTTGACTGAGAATTATCCAAAATAATTTGAGCCGTATTTTTTTAACTGAAAGTATTACAACGCAACCTCTTAGGCAGGATTACAATTAACGATTCTTTTTGAGTGAAGACGCAAAAGAAAAACGCTGTTGGATAGGAAAGATATGGAATTAATTTGAGCTGAGCCGTATGAAATTTTCCTCACATCCCTATTTTGAACTGACAAAGTATTTAAAGAAGCCGAACAACAGAGGCAGGATCACACTTGTTTGACTCTTTTTGGAGTGAAGATGGGAAAAAACACGCAGGTAGCAAGGATATGAATTTAACTTGTGTTCAGCCTATGAAATCCTTCCCCCTCCCCAAAGATAACGCATCAGCAAGCCCGGCCAATCAGTCTAAGGTTTTTTATTTTCTTTTTTTTCCTTTTTTTATTTTATAAGCACCCAAGAATTGTCACAACCATCCTTCCCAATCTTGTACCCTACATCTTGAGAAATATGATTTACTTTCAGGAGACCTTATCGGCTTTCTAATCGAACTTAAAAGACTCAAGTCAAATTACAATTTGACCAGCCAATTACATCAGTTCAGATTGACCCGCCAGTAGGCAAATAAAATCCACTGATTTGCATTCCTACAACCCTGCTACCAGGACTCAGTACAAATAAGTTTGTACACTTTCTTTCCCAAACAAAAGCAAAAGAAATAGGAACAGCAAGCGACCAGCCCATATTCTGAACCGTGAAAGTTTCAAAGAATCCTGCATGCTAAAATTAGCTGAACAAATCGAAATATAAATGAAGAAAATTAAGCCCATCAACCATCACAATTCAAGCGAATAATAAGAAAAAAGTTTGAAGAGCGACTCAGAATGCACCTTTTGATTACGACTCCTGGGAGGAGAATCTCTGATCCCCTTTCCTTTGCACTTTAGGGTTTTTACTTACCGCTACTCCAGCTGCTTCAAGCTGTGTAATCCTTCCGGACCCACACTTCCGTTTTGTTTTGTCCGAGTCGATTGATGCTCGATGGAAGGAATCTATTTATGTCGCAAAAATGAATCAAATTATTCTAACAGATTATTTAAAATAAAAATAAAATGTAAAAAATATCACAATAAAACTACTGAAATAAAACAATTACATACAAGGACTCATTTATAAAAAATTAAAAATTGTTGTCAAAACTCATACTATAATTATCAAAGCTCATGATGTTATCATGGTCCTAATTTACAATTTTCTTATTTTGATGGTATTTTTTTATTTTTTTCCTAACTAAAATATATTTAAAATAATTATTTGGTTTCACTAATTTGACTGATCATGGAATTTTGCTGTATCTTGAATTCTGTCTGTAACCCATTTCTTCACCCTTACCAAAAGCCATCTTTTGATTAATTTTAGTGACGTTAAAAATAAAATAAATTTGATCAAAATAATGGTAAATTTAAAATTTAAAAATATTTTAACTCACCGTATGAAACATAAGAATAAATGAATATGTATTTTCCAAGAGACAAAATATTCTGGAATTGGATTCTCTCCACTATTCTTACCATCCTCTTCCCCTCCACCACCCTCCTTTTCTCTTCACAACCATTGGATCAAAACTCTAATAGTCCAGATTTAATATTTTATAACATTTTATAAAAATAAATATTATGATAAAAAATAGATAAATAAATTTAAAGTGTTAAAATCTAATCTGAACAGTTCATAACTATAGACTGTTATATAAAACAATTTTTTTAATCTTTTTATTACAATTATAAACTCTTCAGACCAGATTTTAACAGTTTAAATTTATTTATTTATTTTTTAATAATATTATTTTTATAAGATTTAAATCTGAACCATTAGAATTTTATTAATCTTGTGAGAGAAAAGAAGGGTAGTGGAGGGAAGAGGATGGGAAGGTAGTGGAGAGAATCCAAGTCCAAATATCTAAGAGAAGTTTAATATGCTTTTGGGCACGTCTAAAATTTCATACATCCATTTTATTAGTTACATATATGATATATCCTCTGGAAAAACCATGATTTGAATATTATATTCTCTACTTTCAATTTGGTGCCTTCCTACCCTCCAATAAAGTTATAATTCATGACCAATTATAATTTTGCTAATGTTGCCAACAGATTGATTAGAAGGGTGGAATTCAGCAATATCTCGTGAACAACAGCAGCATTGCATGGCACGTGCTTCACCCAACCATTTACTTTTCCCCTGCCAATTACTCCATTTAAATTCACATTTGCTTAGCAAAACAATAATCCACACTGAATCAAATAATGGCTGATTAGTCAACAAAAGAGCAAATCTGCAAATGAATGATCCTACCTACACAATAAGCATCACAATTTCAAAATTGGTAATGGCGGTCCACCTTCAATAGTTTCTTAGCATATCTTCAACAATAATATATGATGAACAGAATAATCAAGAATAGGAAAAAAAAATTCACATTTAATTGACGAAACCTCCCTCAAAAATATACAGGTTGAACATACATATTGTTTGCGCATTCTAGGACTGGAACATATCTACAGCGCTGTCATCGTGATGAAAATTCAGATCGTCCTGATACAATGGAAAATTCTTTCCCTTCAATCTCTATTCCATTTCCGTATCCACTTCAATTTGAGCCGGGGGGTAAAATTTCCTAAATTCATCTAAGGGCTACCAAAATTGGGGGCATGATACTGTACAGAGGAAAAAATACGGAAAAATAATGTTCGTATACGGAGAGGTGTTTCCAGTGGCAGGCATCAGAAGCAATCGACCGTGTCAATTCTCATCAGTAGACCAAATTTCGCAGGTTCCTTAAGCAAAAGCAAAGTGCTTAATCAACTCTTGAGGTTGCATGATGGATTGGGTCAGTAAATTAGAAATATTTATGCAGCAATCAAGTTAAATTTGCATGTTTCGGTGAGCATCAGCAAATTCCCGAACAAGTCGCTTTAGAACTCTGCCACCCTTCCCTTGCATATGCCCGAAATTCCTCATTACTCCCATCAGACCTCTTGCTCTCTATATAGTCGGAGGCTGCATCAGCAAGGGCCTTGGACCAAAGTGGCACTAGAGTTTCTGCTTCTCCTTGGTTTAGGTACTCAGCAGGAAAAGCCTGAACCTGATGACTCAAATTGTCAATCAAACTGAGCCAGATGGAGAAAAAGGAAGAAAAAGAAGTGGAAGCGAGAAATCCACAAGACGAAAAGTCCAAATAGATATCAAATCCGATTGCTGAGGCCTGAGATAGCCACCAACAAATACTCTACATTCCTCAACTTTTACGAGACAGTTGAGAGATATATCAAACGACCATCCCCCACAGAACTCAGTTACAGTTTCAACAAGTTAACATATCCTTAGATGCATATACGTCAACAACTACATACAGGAATCTGAAAACGCCCTTGTTGAAAGGTTTCAATCCGCACTAAAACCGCAAACAATTGATGGACCAAGCTTGAGTCTGACACTACCTAATCCAAGAAAGCTAGGCCTTGACAAAATCATAATCAGCTCATAGACGATTTAGAGGAGTACGTAGGTAATATTGTTGTTCACAAAACAAAATTGCATATTCAACACAAGCTTAAAACTCCAGGAAAAAATGCACGAATTATTAGAAATAAATATAAAAAATCATGAATTAGATTTTTCAAGTTGGATGGAGCCTAGCTTGAAAACGGACAACTTTTGGGATACGGGTCAAGCTGGATCAAGTAGGGAACGTGCTGGATTCAGGGAATTAACAACTTTCAAGAAAATCTTTATGAAATAATAACTATACATTAATTAATTTGAAAAAATTGAAGAATAAGTTAATCACAAATCTTATAGTAAAAAGCAAACTAAATTTTAATTGATGAACCACTTACTAATTACTCACTCTAAAACCTAATTCTTCAGTCATTCTCCCACTACTAAGAAAGTTGACCTTCAACTGTATCCTCTTTGGCGCTCATTTCATCAGCGAAGTTAACATTACCTAGCTGTTTCAGCTCAAAGTGAATTAAAAATGGACACATAACAGCAGCAAAATGAATGCATTTCATCTTGTTAGTGAACAAATAGGATGAACTGCTCCCCACGTGGCTCGTGTCTCCGGCATGTTTAAGCTGACGCAACCAATGCCCCCATGACTCTCACTTTTCTAGACTAGAGACCATCTAAGTTGCCACTACAACACTTGAGAACTAGTTCAAGTTAAAAAGAAGCCACCCGGAATCTAATTTGACCAGAAAGGAAGAAGCTGCCTGACCAACTCTTCCTAAACAAAATTGAAGGCATGATGAAGGAGAACAAAGAAACACTTGTGTGACCAGACTCAAGTTTCTTGAAAATGGGAAAATAGTAGGGCGGGGGGAATTTGCGAACCTATATGCTGGTTATTACTGAGGCCACGCCAAAAAACAATTGAAAATCAAAAGACAACGTAAATAATAAATTATATAAGCCAAAAATGAGAGAGAGACCGCTGAATGTAGCCATCCATGCAAAGTTTCCTGCATAGTCTAGTCTTCCAGGTGGTACCTTCACATAGATTGCAATCGCTGCCAATTGTTGCAAAATTGTTGCACATTTGTGAACCTAGCATGCACAGGATTATTCTTAGTTGGCTTCTCAATGAAAATTGACAAGCTAAGAGTAAAGCCTATAAAAAAAAGATTTATGGATCAGAACACGAGGAATAAGGGAGAAAAGAGAAAAAAGGAAAGATTAAAAAACTTGACCCTTCTTTAGGGATTACCAAGATACTAGAAAACCATTACAGTTTGACAAAGGCAGTATTTGTTTTCTAGTTTTGAGGATTTAAGCAAGGATGTAAATGCATTTTTTTTAAAAAAAAAAAATGTACAGTGAATATACTGAATCCAAAAGCCTGTATATGAAATTCTTTTGCTTCAGTCTTATTAATGCTTGCTGGAGACATAGAAGCAACAAAAGACAGGTTTAACTTCCTTTCCATAAAGACCAAAACTTAAATCTAAGAGACCATGCGTTACAGGGAAATCAAGGCTAACACTCCTCTGGAAGAACAAGGATTTGTTTTCTACACAAAATGCATACCAACAAGAACTACTTCATAAAACAACAAAAATTCACACACAGACAATATCATTAGTGCTCACCACTTTCTTCAACTACTTTTACATATCAAATCACGTTTATCAGCCATAAAGAAAACTAAAACAATAAAGTTACTATAAGTTCCAATAAGACTAACCCGTGACATTGCAGAAACACCAAGTAAAGCATACACAACATTGGAAACAAGCCCCTCGCCACTGTGAGAAATGACATGAATGGCCATGGCATTGAATGACCCTTCAAGGATACAATTTGCACATTCCAGCAAAGAGACCAAGCCCACATCTAAGAAACCTGAAAAGTCAAGAAAGGAATTATCAGCCTCATGTAACCAATAAAAACGAATACTCCCAATTATATGTCATTTAATGCTAAGATTAAGAAAGTTATTTCATATCCTAGATTGTAGCAAAACCTACCAATATTTACTTAAGTAACCTTATTTATTTTGTCTTGTTTACAGGCAAACTCTTGTTCCTCATACCATTATGTTTATCAACGAAGGGTAAAATAGTCTAAAAATAAATAAGGCTTCATTGAAAAAAAATATATTGTTGAGATATTCATAAAACCTGGAGAAATCCGGGGTTAATAATCCTCTAAACTTGTTTTATCAAGT